ATAATTCAGATCAAAGCAGCTATTGTAGATTATCTGCCTTGATGTTTGATCTTATATTATTTATTTATTTATTTATTTATTTAGGGCTTTTATATCCTGTCCTTTCTCAACCTCCGCAGAGGGACTCAGGACGGCTAACAAAGTGGCACCCCATGGCACCCACATCAAAACATAAATATACAATTAACAGCAATGTAATAATAATAATAATATAAAAACAGTATAAACAGTATAAAACCATATAAACAATATAAAAACAGACAACAAATAGTCAATGGTCACCAATTTAAATGATTATCCAAGGGCAGTCCATCAGTTCTAAATCAGTCAACACAACAGTAGGTCAGCCTATTCTCCAAAGGCCTGATCTCATAGCCAGGATTTTACTTGTTTCCGGAAGGTCAAGAGGGATGCAGCAGATCTAATTTCATTCGGGAGGGAGTTCCACAGCCGGGGGGCCACCACAAAAAAGGCCCTGTCCCTTGTTCCCGCCAGACGCGATTGTGACAATGGGGGGACAATGAGCAGGGTTTCCTCAGATGATTTTAGGGCCCTAGGTGGATCATAGTGGGAGATACGTTCAGACAAGTAAACTGGGCCAGAACCATTAAGGGTTTTATAGCCCAAAGCCAGCACTTTGAATTATGGCTGTTTGGAAGGACACTAAGCCTACACTGCCATATAATCCAGTTCCAAATAGATAGGGTGGATATCATAAACTGTGTAGAAGGGGGCCTTGGTCACCTTTCTCTGGGCGTGTTCCAATCTTCTTGAATTGCCCAGAAGTGGACCAAGTATTCCAGGTGACTAAAGAAGAATACAGTGGGACTATAATTGGGTATGGGCAAACTTTGGCCCTCCAGGAGTTTTAAACTCCAACTCCCACAATTCCTAACAGCCTACCGGCTGTTAGGAATTGTGGCAGTTGAAGTTCAAAACCCCTTGAGGGCCAAAGTTTGCCCATGCCTGGACTATGATCTGCCTTAGACCCCTTCCACACAGCTGTATAATATCCACACTGAATTGGATTATATAGCAGTATGGGCTCATTTAATAGAATACCAAGCCTGCAAACTTTGTGTTTTGTTTGTTTTTAATGCAATACAGCTGTTTTGGTTCGCTCCTGACACGATAAATAAATACCCAGCTCAAATTAGATATTGTGGATGATCTGCCTTGATATTCTGGGTTACATGGCTGTGTGGAAGGGCCCCGAGGCTGCTTATTTCACCTAAACTCTCCTGAATTTCTGCACCATACTACATTTAGGCAATGCACATGACAAGCACAGCTATAGGATGAGCGACACCTGGTTAGAGAAGAGTGCACGTGAAAGAGGTGTAAGTGGCTGAACATGAGTCACCACTGTGATGCTGCAGCTTTGAAAACCAATGTGATTCTAGGCTGCATCCATAGGAGTACAGTGTCAAAAGACCCTTCCACACAGCCATATAACCCAGACTATCAAGGCAGAAAATCCCACAATATCTGCTTTGAACTGGGTTATCAGAGTCCACACTGTCATATATCCCTGTTCAATGCAGATAATGTGGGAGTTTATACAGGTGTGTGGAAGGGACCTTAAATTGATATCCTAAAAGTCAGAGTGCTCTTTGGGCCCTTCCACACAGCCCTATATCCCAGAATATCAAGGCAGAAAATCCCACATTATCTGCTTTGAACTGGATCCACACTCAGATAATGTGAGATTTCCCGCCTTGATATTCTGGGATATAGGGCTGTGTGGAAGGGCCCTCTCTCTATACCAGTGTTTCTCAGCCTTCCTAATCCTGCGACCCCTTAATACAGTTCCTCATGTTGTGGTGACCCCCAACAATAAAATCTTTATTTTGTTATGAACTGTAATCTAAGTATCTGATATGCAGGATGTATTTTCATTCACTGTACCAAATTTGGCACAAATACCCGATACACCCAAATTTGAATACTGGTGGGGTTGAGAGGGGGATTGATTTTGTCATTTGGGAGTTGTAATTGATTGGGATGTATGGTTCACCTACAATCGAAGAGCATTTTGAACTCCACTAATGATGGAATTTAACCAAACTTAGTACACAGAATTCCCATGACCAACAGAAAATACTTGAAGGGTTTGATGGGCATTGACCTTGAGTTTTGGAGTTTTAGTTCACCTACATCCAGAGAGCACTGTGGACTCAAATAATGATGGATCAGGACCAGACTTGGCACGAATGCCCAATATGCCCAAATGTGATCACTGGTAGAGTTTGGGAAAAATAGACCTTGACATTTGGGAGTTGTAGTTCCTGGGATTTATAGTTCACCTACAATCAAAGAGAATTCTGTACCCCACCAATGATAGAATTGGGCTATACTTCCCCACAGAGTTTGGGGAAAATAGACCTTGATATTTGGGAGTTGTAGTTGCTGGGATTTATAGTCTCACCTACAGTCAAAGAGCATTCTGAACTCAGCAACGATAGAATCGAGTCAAACTTCCCACACAGAACCTCCACGACCAACAAAAAATATTGTGCTTTCTGATGGTCTTTGGTGACCCCTTTGACACCCCTTTGCGATCCCCAGGTTGAGTAACACTGCTCTGTGAGGAAAAACGTCTCTGTATTGATTTAATTGTATTGTTGTTATTTTTTGTTATTGCTTTCTTGTTTATTGATGTGTTGTTGGGCATGGCCTCATGTAAGCTGCTCCGAGTCCCTTGGGGAGATGGTGGTAGGATATGAATAAAGCTATTATTATTATTATTATTATTATTATTACTATTACTAGCTGTACCCACCACGCGTTGCTGTGGCCAACCTTCCCTCACTCTTTCCTTCCTTCCCTCCTTTTCTTTCCCTTCCGCTTTCTCTCCTTTCCTCCTTCTCTATCTCTTTCTTTCCTTCCTTCCCTTGCTGTTTGGTTCCATCCTTCCTTCTCTCCTTCCTTCCCTCTTTCTCAACTTCTTTTATTTTCTCCTTCCTTCCCTCTCTCTTGCCTTCCTTCTCTACCTCTTTCCTGCCTTCCCCCCTTTTTCTTTCCCTTCTACTTTCTCTCCTTCCTTCCTTCTCTACCTCTTTCTTTCCTTCCTTCCTTCCTTTTCTCCTTCTTTCACTCCTTCCTTCGTTCCCTCCCTCCTTCTCCAGATCCATCTGTGGGGCGACAGAGGTAGAGGATATTACACATGTACTGTTTAATTGTATTTTGTACAACAAAGAGAGAAATCAATACCTCGGACCATTAATCATACAGAAGACTCACTGGGATCCCCATATCAAAACTACATTCTTAATGGCTGGCCAGAATGCGAAGATAACACACCAAACAGCCCTTTTCCTTTATAAAGCAACGCAGCGGAGAACTGCGTATCTGGAGGCGATTGGGGTCAACTGTACGGGTGACGCAGATATCTGAAGTGGCTTGGGATTGTGTAATAGCTATTTTAACCTTCATTTTAACCTTCGTTTTTAATTTTTGTGGTATGAAATTTTATCTTGACATTTTAATGATAATATTTTTAGTCATCTTTTAACCTAATGTGTGTTGGTTCGCTGTTGTGGGGGTCTTGGGATGGTGATTGTTGTCTGTTTGTGCACGTGTCTGTTTTTTTGTTTTTAATGTTGATGTGGTCAATAGACTATTCAATAAACTTTGCTTTGCTTTCTCCAGATCCATCACTGTTTATGTCCATGGTGCTCTCTAGATGTAGGTGAACTACAACTCCCAAACTCAAGGTCAATGCCCACCAAACCCTTCTAGTGTTTTCTGTTGGTCAGGGGAGTCCTGTGTGCCAAGTTTGGTTCAATGCCATCGTTGGTGGAGTTCAGAATACTCTTTGATTATAGGTGAACTATAAATCCCAACTTGTTGTTGTTCATTCGTTCAGTCGTCTCCGACTCTTCGTGACCCCATGGACCAGCCCACGCCAGAGCTCCCTGTCGGCCGTCACCACCCCCAGCTCCTTCAAGGTCAGTCCAGTCACTTCAAGGATGCCATCCATCCATCTTGCCCTTGGTCGGCCCCTCTTCCCTTTTCCTTCCATTTTCCCCAGCATCATTGTCTTCTCCAAGCTTTCCTGTCTCCTCATGATGTGGCCAAAGTACTTCAACTTTGTCTCTAGTATCCTTCCCTCCAGTGAGCAGTCGGGCTTTATTTCCTGGAGGATGGACTGGTTGGATCTTCTCGCAGTCCAAGGCACTCTCAGACCTTTCCTCCAACACCACAGCTCAAAAGCATCTATCTTCCTTCGCTCAGCCTTCCCTAAGGTCCAGCTCTCACATCCGTAGGTTACTACAGGGAATACCATGGCTTTGACTATGCGGATCTTTGTTGCCAGTGTGATGTCTCTACTCTTTACTATTTTATCGAGATTGGACATTGCTCTCCTCCCAAGAAGTAAGCGTCTTCTGATTTCCTGGCCACAGTCTGCATCTGCAGTAATCTTTGCACCTAGAAATACAAAGTCTGTCACGGCCTCCACGTTTTCTCCCTCTATGTCCCAGTTGTCAATCATTCTTGTTGCCATAATCTTGTTTTTTTTTTTATGTTTAGCTGTAACCCGGCTTTTGCGCTTTCTTCTTTCACCTTGATTAGAAGGCTCCTCAGCTCCTCCTGTCTTTCGACCATCAGAGTGGTGCCATCTGCATATCTGAGGTTGTTAATGTTTCTTCCAGCAATTTTCACCCCAGCTTTGCATTCCCAACTACAACTCCCAAATGACAAAATCATAATTTTTTGAGTGATGGTCACTCCTTGTGTTGTGAGACTTTTGTTACCAAATTTGCTGTGATTTCGTTCATTGGTTCTTTTGTTTATAAGGTACTCATTACGCACAGAGCATTTATATATTATTATTATTATTATTATTATTATTATTATTATTATTATTATTATTATTATTCCTCACAACAGCAGGACTGTCCCTTTAAGAGGCGCTCGCGGGGGGCGGGGCTGCGAGGCTTCCCTGACTTCTCTCCAGAAGCCCCGCCCACAAACCCGCCGAAGAAGGAGACCCTCACCTGCCCAGCTCGCGCCCGGGGCTGAGGAGATACCGCTCCCGGAAAGGCTCGGTTCGGATGGGCGTCCTAATCTCCGACAAGCGCCCTCCTCCTCCTCCTCGCCGCTGCTGCTGAGGCGTCCGGCTGACTCTTGGGCGGCTCGGAGCCGGAGGCGGCGGCTTCTTCTTCTCCTCAGGACTCATGGCGAACGAGAGGCGCTCTCTCTCTCTCTCTCTGCCTCTCTCGCCCGAATGAAGGCGGCGGCGGCGCAGAGGAAGAAGAAGGAGTCGCCACCGCCGCAGCCTCCGCTGCACGCGCCCTTCTGACTGGCAGCTGGAGAGGAGCCGCCGCAAACCCCGCCCCTTCGCCGCCGCGCGCCACCCTCCCCAGCCCCGCCCAACCGCCTTACCTTGCGGCCAGGAAAACAAAAGGGCGCGCGGCTGGTGCGGTGAGGCAGCGCCCCCTGCCGGCCACACACCATCTCATCCCCATTGGGAAGAGCAAGCATGCTGTGGCTTATTTGTCCTGTCAGGACAACCAGTCAAATTATATTACATTTCTAACAGAACAAGGAGCCCCCGGTGGCGCAGTGGGTTAAAGCACTGAGCTGCTGAGCTTGTTGATCGAAAGGTCGCAGGTTCGATTGCGGGGAGCGGCGTGAGCTTCCGCTGTCAGCACTAGGTTCTGCCAACCTAGCAGTTCGAAAACATGCAAAATGTGAGTAGATCAATAGGTACCGCTCCAGCGGGAAGGTAACGGCGCTCCATGCAGTCATGCCGGCCACATGACCTTGGAGGTGTCTACGGACAACGCTGGCTCTTCGGCTTAGAAATGGAGATGAGCACCACACCACAGAGTCAGACATGACTGGATTTCATGTCAGGGGACTACAACAGAACAAGGCAAACAAACAGACAAAATACAAAATGTGTGAGTTTGGTAGTTGATTAAATGTCCTTTGACCAGTATCTGGCCACTTGGAGTGCCTCTGGTGTTGCTGCAAGAAGGTCCTCCGTTGTGCATGTGGCAGGGCTCAGGTTGCATTGCAGCAGGTGGTCAGTGGTTTGCTCTTCTCCACACTCGCATGTTGAGGATTCCACTTTGTGGCCCCATTTCTGAAGGTTGGCTCTGCATCTTGTGGTGCCAGAGCACAGTCTGTTCAGCACCTTCCAAGTCGCCCAGTCTTATGTGTGCCCAGGGGGGAGTCTCTCATTTGGTATCAGCCATTGGTTGAGGTTCTGGGTTTGAGCCTGCCACTTTTGAGCCTGCCACTTTTGGCCACATAATGAGGAGACAGGAAAGCTTAGAGAAGGCAATGATGCTGGGGGAAATAGAAGGAAAAAGGAAGAGGGGCCAACCAAGGGCAAGATGGATGGTATCCTTGAAGTGACTGGCTTGACTCTGAAGGAGCTGGGGGAGGTGACTGCTGACATGGAGCTCTGGCGTGGGTTGGTCCATGAGGTCGCGAAGAGTCGGAAGCGACTGAACAAATGAGCAACAACATAAGGGTAAAGCCAACTGTCTCATGTAGCATGTTTTGGAGCAGTGATTCTCAACCTGTGGTTCCCTAGATGTTATGGCTTTCAGCTCCCAGAAATCCTAGCAGCTGGTAAACTGGCTGGGATTTCTGGGAGTTGTAGGCCAAAACAACTGGGGACCCAGTTGAGAACCACTGGCCTTTATCTATGGATTCAACAGCCCTTTGAAGGCAACTGTAACGATTCTGGCTCACCTTAGGTGAAATGTGACTTACCTTAAAGGACTGGCATGTGAGCAGCTATTTTGTAGTTCTCGGGGAGTCGCAGCACTAGTGTAGAGGCTATTTGCCTGAAAGAAACCTGATTGGCCGAATTATATGTATTTATTTACTAAATATTAATCAAATCTAAGACCACTGAATTTGGTAGTAAAACTGATGTCTTGACATCTAAATTCAAGGGTATTTACAGCTACATGAGTTTTAAAGGCTATTACAAGTGTATTTATTATATTTTAATCTGCTTTTTACCTTAATCCACACTGTATTGTTTTTTTTAAATTTTTGTATATGCACTTTTGAAATTATGACCAAAGTGTGGGATTTTTAGCCACCTTGAGTCCTCATGGGGAGAAAGGTAGGGTATAAAGTAAATAATAATAATAATAATAATAATAATAATAATAATAATAATGGGATCTGCATGCATGATTCACCGATACATCACATAGCCTAGACCAGGGGTCCTCAAACTTTTTAAACAGAGGGCCAGGTCACAGTCCCTCAAACTGTTGGAGGGCCACATTATATTTTGAAAAATACATGAATGAATTCCAATGCACACTGCACATATTTTATTTGTAGTGCAAAAACCACCAAAAACAATACAATAATAAAAATGAAGAACAATTTTAACAAATATAAATTTATTAGTATTTCAACGGAAAGTGTGGGTCTGCTTTTGGCTGATGAGATAGGATTCTTTTGTTGTTGTTGTTGTTGTGTGCTTTCAAGTCTTTACAGACTTAGTTTGACCCTGAGCGAGGGCTGGGTAAATGACCTTGGAGGGCCGCATCCATCTCCCGGGCTTTAGTTTGAGGACCCCTGGCCTAGACACTTGAGAAGTGTCCGACGTGTGATCCAATGCAACATCTTGTTGTGTTTCAAATAATAACTTATTTTATTATAATAATCTGCAAGAAGATCGTGCAGACAGTCTACAAGCAGAGACATAATACTGTTGCTCAAATGATCTCCTGGAACTTGTGCCACATATACCATCTGCCTGTGACAATCCATTGGTGGGATCACAAGCCTGAAAAAGTTACAGAAAACAAACATGTCAAACTACTCTGGGACTTCAGAATTCAGACTGACAGAGTTTTGGAGCTCAATACCCCTGACCTCACAATTGTGGGAAAAAAACCAAAGTATGGATCATCAATGTTGCAATCCCAGGTGACAGCAGAATTGACGAGAAGCAACTGGAAAAGCTGACACGATACGAGGATTTAAAGATCGAACTCCAAAGACTCTGGCACAAGCTAGTAAAGGTGGTCCCAGTGGTGTTCAGCACACTGGTTCCAATGCCTAAAGACCTTGGCCTGCACTTAAAAACAATTGGCACTGACAAAATTACCATCTGTCAGCTGCAGAAGGCCACCTTACTTGGATCTGCGCACATTATTTGCCGATACATCACATAGTCCTAGACACTTGGGAAGTGTCCGATGTATGATTGAATACAAAAGCCAGCATAGTGATCTTGTTTGCTGTGAACTTGTCTTGTTGTGTATCAAATAATAATAATAATAATAATAATAATAATAATAATAATAATAGATTCTGTAGATTAATTTCATACTCTGGGTTTCATTTTTTCCTCTCTATGGTTACTTGTCAAAGACACAGACCACTCACTGCTGTAACTTAAAACTAGGCAATTTTTACCTGTGCAAAGGAATCCAGTTCCATACCTGTGAAATAACTATACAGATGCTTTTAAAAAAATTAGCCCAACACAGGCCTGACCTAATTATCTAACACTTACTAGTGATCATCATTAAACTCCATGATACATCAATCTTAGTCTCGTATGTTTTATTAACTGCACCTGGTGGATGTCTACCAATAATAGGACCACTGCAATCCACAAATATGTGAGAAAAAATCCCCCAAGCTTGAGGTTGTAGAAAAGGCTCTATTTTTAGCTCAACCTACAGGAAAGAAAACATTAACCAAACCACATGATGCCATAACAAAGAGATTTTATTGACATTCCTTTACAGTGATATGATTGAATAGAAAGCACAGCCTGAGTATCATGTTGACATTTTTCCTGTCAATAGAAGCAAAATCAGCCCAAATGTGGACCTTTCCTCCCATTGACTTGTATGAAGTCTTTAATGAAACCATAACAGACACTTGGTTCTAGGTAAATTGGAAGCTGCAGGGAATTCAGCTAATGTTTTAGTACTGATTCTACTATCTACAGGTATCAGTTGACTAGATCACAACTACTACTAGGGAGAAAGTGACAATGTAACCTTTATAGAAAGGCTATTCCAGATTTGTGGTGTGTTGCAGTCAACCTTTAAACACTGAGGTACTTATAAAAAGCACCGTCTTAAAAATAGAAATGATTCTCAGTGTGTTATTTGACTGAACTAATTGCATCTTTGCTGGGAATTCCTTCCTGAGATGTTCAATCACTCCTGAAATTACTGGCAATAGTCCCATAGACTTTAGCATACCTAAAATTTTGTTCAGCATGGATGTTTATCTCAGGGTAGATGTTTAGTGCATTCTGACACCCTGTTGTTACCTAAATTAAGCACATAAATGGGGTTATCTCCTTGAAATGAGGCATATGTGAATGTAGAAAGAAAAAAACTTAATTTCAATAGAGTTTATTGCCAAATAGGTAGGCCTAGGTTCATAGATTTAGAATTTTATATTGATATGTTTGCTTAGAAGTTGAATCTATTTGAATTAATAAGTGGTGCTTACAAATTAATATGTTTTGGTGCAAGTAGCCAATCTCACACTGGAGCAATGCCACACTTTTATACTGAGGGGACCTGCATGAAAATAAGGCAGTCATCAACCTGGTTGTGAACTCCAATGTTGATCTCCATTAGCAAAACTTTATTTACATGAAAGAAGTGAAAATTGTGTTTTCTAAGATGAAATACTGAAAAATCAATTAATGTACAGTACAAAAATCCAAATTTGCCCATTAGCTATGCATGCCAAAATGAAAATTCAAATATGCCAAACAGAAGAAAAAAATGTCAAGGTATTGCAAATCTATGACCAAAATAAAAGCATACAGTAATGTGGGAGCAATGAAGATTGTGTTGTTTTGAGACTCAAGGTTTGAACCTTCTCTAAAATTATTGTCTAAGAAGCTATCATTTATCATTGCACGTGGCCTTGTTTACATGTATCCTTAGTAATGTCAACCCCACTTCTTACCAGAAGGTAGGTCAACAGCAAAGCAGGAAAGTTATGCAACTGTCCATTTGTGGTGTTGCTTCATCCATCAACCCTCCTAGGTACCATAGGATGAAATAATACACATCTTCTGTGTTGCTGTGTTTGAGAGTGTTCCCCTCCCCTACCCCTTATGTTCATTTTCAATGCAATTTCTCTGGCCTAAAACAAAAAAAGAAGTCCTCAGTACATAAATATAGTTCATCTGCAAAAATCAGTGTCTCAAAGATTACTCTGACTTCCAAAAATGTGGTTATTTCCTTTCCCAAGAGAATGCAAGGATTGTCAATCAAAATGCTTAGAAGGCCAAAGGGTTCCTTTCCTATGCTATGGAAGCCAAAGATGTGGAAAGGGTTTTTTTTAAATTAAAAAGGTACCATCAAAAATACACGAGAAAAAGTTTAGAGTGTATAATATTTATAGGGATGCTTTTTCCCTCAGATCAAGAGAAACCATGTTTCCTGGAATAAAAACACAAAGTTTTGGGAGCCAGACTTTGAGCTGCATCAACCCTATTTCACTTTCCAGAACGGAAGAGGATACAATTCCGTATTGGAATTTGAGGCATGTCTATCTTGCTTCAGATGCCTTTACTGCATATACAAATCCTTCACCATGCTACCAAAATAGCTCAAATTTTTAATAAAATATAGCTTTTAAATTCTTTTTTAAAAAAATTAAGTATACAGTATTACAAAGAAAGGGGTTTAATAGTAAACTATATTATATTTTGTACACTGTTGTATTTGGCCCACCTGGAACTCACTATTGACACATCTACAGTTTGACAACCTTGTTTGAATTCCAGATTTTGGTTAATGTCATCTAAATACAATCTATATGACTACATTACACAAATGAACTGAGGCTGAAGGTGGCATGATTTTCATAGGATTTTGTGGTTTGTGTACTGGAGATTTCCTTTTAGGAAGGTGGAGCTCCACAAGACTTACTAAACAGCTTTTATTTTCAATGAGCCTTACAATATGTTTAATGAGATTCCATTGAAACAATAGTTGCAATGGTGAAAATGCCTATCACAGAATGTGTCCTTGAGGAATGCCTACTAAGTACAATTCATATGGTCATTAAGATTGGTATTTATTAGGGCTGGGCGGTTTCATTTCGTTAATTCGTAATTCGTTAATAATTCGTTATTTTTTTTTTAATTGTTTCGTTAATTCGTAATTCGTTAATTCGTTAATTTTTTCAATTACAAAACGATAACGAACCATTCTGGAGCAATTATTAAAAAAACGAATTTTCAAAAACGTTTTGTAAATGCTTCGTATTTCGATATTGTGTTCGTTTCGTTATTGTTTTGAGGTCGTTTCGTTATTATTTCCACATGTCTGGGCCAGTTTTATGGTTTAATTAGTGAAAAAAAATTATAATATCACACCAACAGTCAACAACAGAGGGAGAGGGAAGCTTCAGAAGGTTTTGGAGGTTTTTTAGCATATTTCGCGGTCGCGTCCGCCATTAACGAATCGATTCGTTATTGTTTCGGAAATCGATTCGTTAATTTTTTACCATTTACGAAATTTCGTAAATATCGAACTTTTTAAAAGGAAAATTTTGTAATTATTTTAAATATCGAAACAAAAAAACCCCCCAAATACAAATCGATTTTAGAAACAAATTTTTCCGTTGTTACCCAGGCCTAGTATTTATATCAACTAGAATGCAAGCCAAATTAGTCATGAATCTGCCCTTCATATACAAGTCGAATGGGTCATCTGCCCTTCATATACATACTCAATGCTTTAAGATCCCATGGAGCTTTCCTGTTTGCTTTTGTTTCATCCATTTCTTATTTTTAAGAATAGTCTAGGTTCCTTAAAATAAAGGTTTATTAAATAAGGAGGCACCATCTTATTGGCATTGTTAAATGAAAAGATACAATCATATTCAAATTAAGCCATGATCCAGCCAGTTAACCTCTTCCATGTTTTATTAATTTCAATAGAAAATAGCTAAGTACTTGCTTAAATCTCTCTCACTGAAAGATAGTCCCCAAACATTCTTAACTTTGGCTGGATACAATCTCATGTTTTTAATAAGTTACTCTATTTTGGCATCGTTTATCTTAATCGTTATTACTTATCTTCTTTATTTGGGTGAAAGATTTTTTTTCCTGAAACCATTTCATCCTGACTGAAGGAAGTTTGATTTTTTAAATACATAGTGCCATTTTCAGGTGACTTTTTGTATTGATTTATTTGGCAGAATTCTCTGGGTCTATTCTTCAGTCCCTTGACCTGCTGAATATAGTAGCTGGAATGAAAGAAGGAGGCACCAGCCTCTTTCATGCTCTCTCCAACTCATCCCTCTCACACAACATACTCAGAAGGCAGGCCCATAGCTTGGGGGGCGGGGCTTGAGGGGCTTCAGCCCCCCCCCCCAATTCTCAGGGTGGTCCGCAAGAAGGCCTTACTGGTAAATTTTTTAAACTGTTATGTTTGTTTATATCATGATCTGATCACCATGCTCAATATATCCCATATGCATGTGGATATTGGGATAATGATACAAAAGGTTTGCTAGGGTAGATCGAGGGCCCACCTCAAATCAAACTCAGCCCCCCCCCCCACCCCTGGGAATCAAAATCCTGGCTATGGGCCTGTCAGAAGGTAAGGATGATCACAACACCAGCAATATTGTGAGGAGGAGGAATGAGGCAGAGTCACAAGCACAAGACCCTCCTAGTCTTATGTCAGGTACAATTTTCAGTGCAAACTGGAGCGGGTCTCTTTTCGCTTTTAATATTTAACTCTTCTCTGATGCTTAATGATGATTAAACCAGATATGCAAAGATGTCATTTGATTATTTTGAGATATGCATGAAGAAATAAGAACCATTCCAGATGAAAATAAAAGATGTATCTATGGACACTTAAAATAGCCTAATTCTCAAATTAAGACAGGAAAATTAAGACAATGGAAGTGAAGAAATCCATAGTTTCTGCTGTCCTCATCAGAGTATCCATGCTCCAGTGTGTTTTGCTTTCTATGATTTTGCCAATGGAAATCAAAACCCATAACGCTGAGTAGTTTTGCCATTTGCCCTGATTAGAAAGAAGGTCAGAATCTTCAAATCACTAATCAATAACATATCAGGTAGGTAGACCAATGAGGCTTTAGGAACAAATTAAGATGTTTAGCTAATAACTAAGGAAAGTTGTCATCCATACTACTTCAACATTACCATTCTCTGCAGCTTCGCACATATTTCAACTTTGGTTGTATGTTTTCTGTAGAACCAAATCTGCAATAATTGGGTATTTAAGACTGAAGAGAAATGAAACAAAAACACAACTCTGTGTCAATTAGCGTATGTTAAAGAATTAATGGCTTTCAGCACATGGTGCAGGATTGTCTATATCTCTGTATGGAAGTGTTTTAACACCAAAAAACAAAGAAACAGTAAATGGGAGCAGAAGATAGTAAGAAGAGAATATTAATCAGGTTGTTTTGTTATGTACAATAATCAGGACAGGTGTTGTTGTTTATTATGCTACATAATGAGACATCCTTTTGGAGTGCACAAATGTGTGCTTCCTGTGTGTTGCTGTTTCAATAAACTTTATCTCCCATCCACACTTCAATAGCTCTGAAGTGCAACGATTCCCAGTATTGGCAATTAACTATCAGTGACACATTGCATTGCATTGCAGGTTTGTTTTGTTTTGAACGTCTTATCTGCACCACACATTTGGCCCAACTCCAGCTGCTGTAGTTGATCTGGATTATGAGTCTGTGTATAAAAATTCAGGTTTGCTCATAGGTGCCCCTCACAATTTGTACAAGAAAATCAAGGACAGATGAAGGAGACTCTTGATCAGTTCCATTAGTGGATAGAGCTGTTAAGACGCAAGATGAACGGTGGGTTTAATCCAGAAGAGATGGGCATAGAAAAGCTTGGAATGCTTGATTTTTGTTTTTTAAACAACATAGGTGGACGTAAACATTTATTAACATTTGGTCAAGTGTAGCATAACTTGCATTCATATTTTCATTATTACTAATGGAGGTATGTGGAGATACACAGAGACCTTGAGACTGTTTTTTTTTTATATTGCATACAGGCTAGTTGTCCATTCATAACCAAATATGAAAGCATGAAGGCTAGTTCTTAAAGGAAGGCTGTTCTTCATGCACAGCTTTTGTCGATCTTGATTTTGCCTCCGGAAATAAAAACACAGAATATCAAAATCATATGGCAGCAGGGTAGGGAGTGATGTCACTGACCAGAAAAAACACTTCAAATGCTTCCATTTTTCTCTCTCATTCAAGTCCAAAGGTGCTAGTTTCTTCAACAGCTGTCAACAACTTTTCATACAGCATAGAATATGATGGGTAAGGTGGAAGATCCAAACGATTGAAACACGTATGTGCCCTGTGGAGAGAAAACACAATGCGTACATTTTAAGATATTAGGAACCCCATCAGAAATCTGTAACTGATGAGTTAAGTTTATAAACAGAGCAAAGAAAAAGTGAGGCAAATGTATTTTTTTTCATGTGTTTTTGCCACAAATTTACAAAAGAACTGGTGGTAATAGAAGATCCATAGCTCTCCTATTCTGAAAAGACACATTTTGACATTGTCATTTACCAATTACAAGAAGAGAAAAAGCAGAGAAAAATGGGCATCTCCATAAAATTGTAAATCCAATAATTTCCATCAGATTCCCACAAAAATAGCAGCTCACAACACCCTTTTTCCATGTCTTTCTCCAGATTTTAAATCTGCCAATTCTTTCCTTTTTGCTGAATTATCCAACTGAGGCATTTTTTTCCAGGGGTCTTCAATGAGAGGTTGTGGTTACCTCCATCCCAGCGGTCTTTACAATTAAGCCAGCCAGGTAAGTGAGATTTAAATGGGAAAAGGGGAGGACAAGGTTTGGGAGAAGGCAGAATGAAAGAGGTAAACCAGAAAAATTTCTCCCACTTTATTTTTAATCTGAGTTGAATAAGAACGTATGATCTGAGGCACCAGATCCTCTCTGATCTCAGAAGCTAAGCATGGTTAGGCCTGATTAGCATTTGGAAGGGAACCATCAGGGAATATAAAATGTTGTAGGACGCATTCAAACCTTGCTCAAACAAAACTTTCCAAAAAACTCTATAATATATAGGGTTGTCATAAATCAGCTTGAAGGCACACAACAACAAATGTCTCCCTAAGCAAATAAATAAGTCTAAGATTAAATTATGCCTGAACACTCACTAGAATCTAAATTAATTAAACTGCAGCTACTGTATTTTGGACATATCATAAGATGACACTACTCATTAGAGAAAATTCCTTGGCAATGTGGAAGAAGGTAAGAAAAGAGGAAGGTTGCATTACAGTCAATCAAAGAAGCCACAGCCATGAAACTCCAAGACCTGAGCTCTTAATAACAGTCTACAAAAAACACAGGTAAGACTTGGGCCATCAAAGTTTGTTTTTGCACTTGAACTTAATTTATTTCTATTTGGTGTATAACACCAGAGCTTGGGAAAACCTCTTCTTTGGGTCACAATTTCCAGTATCCTCTGCCAGTGGGGGGTAGGCATGGATTTAGGAACTGTTGTTCAACAAAGCAACTTTACCCAAGCTTTGTGTGTACTATACTATTGTCTACAATGTGCCTTTAGGCATGGAGATGGAAAAGAAGCACACACCGCAATGAAAAAGAAATAATTCCAAGCAAATGTTTAAAGTTAATCTCAGCTATAGGATTTAGAAATGTATTCAAAATTGAAGAATACCTTGGAAGAGATGTTATTTTCCCCCATTTCTCTATACAGAAGCGCCGTAAGCCATTGCTCCCTCGGAGGGCTGCAAACCCCTCATATGGTACACTAGATGTCCCAGTGACAAACTGTAGTAACCGTAGTCTTTGCTCGTTGTTGAATCTCTCTACTGCAGCCCAGAACCACCGTATTACAATGTGCCCATCATGGTAACCTAAAACAGAAAGTGTGTAAAAGACAAATGGATTAGAAACATTCAATGGGAAGCCACAAATGGTCATGAAGATGAAATATAATAGCATGCTTTTCTGCCTTCTCTGCCTTTTTATTTTCCCCCCTCCTAATGTAGTAGTAGTGATGGGTGCTTTGTAATTTTCAGGGAATACTTTACACATCAAGTGGCCTGCCTCAGTTCTTGTGTGTCTGATGTAGAATCCTCCCATATTCACATAGGATTCTGCAATGGGTTATTTCATGCAAGGGGCTTTACAGGTCTGTTGTGGCTCATTGACACTTTACATGACCTTAAGTGCATGCCAATCTTTTCAGTGGAGCACACTCTCGCTCCCGCCTTCTTCACAGATGCGTCTGGCGGGGACGAGAGACAGGGCCTTCTCAGCGGTGGCCCCTCAACTGTGGAACGCCCTGCCTAGAGATATAAGATCAGTTCCCTCCCTCTTGACTTTTCGAAAAAAGGTGAAAACCTGGCTTTTTGAGCAGGTCTTCCCAAATACGGCATAGCTAAACAGAATTATGGAACTACTTGAAAACACAATGGAATTACGATTTGACATAGAGACGCTTACGATAACGTTTTAAGGCTTTGTACGGTTTTTATATTTTTATATCATATGCTATTGCTTTTAATAGAATGTCTTGATTGTTTTTACTTGTTATAATAATTGTTGAGGCATCGAATTGTTGCCAATTGTGAACCGCTCCGAGTTGACTCTGGGCTGAGAGGGGTGGTATATAAATATAGTAAATAGATAAAATAAATAGAAACAGTGGGGAAAAGCCTGCCCCATTATTAATCTTGTCACTGAAGAAACCCTCTTATCTATGGAAGGGTTCCTAAAAGAACACCACAGTTCTAAATAAGTATAATATGTAACACACATAAAATTGGTGTGAAATATGGCATAAGTGTAACCAAGTCCCAATGCTATACATGTATCTATCAATCTTGACAAAGCCAGGAGCCTAATTTTCCTGCCTCCAGAAAACATTGCACAAAGCTAGATATTTTTTAAAAAAATATCAAGACTGCAAGGTACTTATTCACACTACACAACTATAGTGTTATTGTTTTACTTTAAATGCTATGGAGTCCAGGGAATTGTAATTTGGAGAGGCACTGGAAGAACTCTTTGGCTGAGACTTCTAAATGTCCCTTCCTAAACTGCAAATCCCAGGATTCCATATAATGGAGTCATAGCCACTACATTACAACAGAGCTTCTTAAACATTTGTTACTCACGACCTCTTTCTGCTGGAGAAATTTTTACATGACGCTATGTAGATAAATATAAAATAGTATAAAAATAAAACATTTGCTGAAAATAAATCAGCATTTACAAGACTTGCTAAGCAGGTTATTTTTTCTTTTTTGTGGAATACAGCTGAAGCATTTTGTGCAGAGCCCACTGTAAATCTGCACGTTGTTCCTAACAGATTTGTGCAAATGGGCATTCAGAAATCTTTAATTGTTGCCAAATTTTTGTGACCCTAATATTAAGCTAAGAGGACCCAATTTGGGTCCAGGACTCACAATTTAAGAAGCAGTGCATCAGAATAATGGTGTTATAGCTTGTAGGGCAAAGTGCCCTCTAAGCACTGCCCCTATATACTTATATCAAATTTAGCCATGTTCATCTTTTGGCATGGACACAATCTCAATTATAACAAGAACTAGATGCATATACTTATACAATGATTGTCAACAATTCTCATGATACCTGTAGGTTCTATAAACTCCCAATGTATGCATAGTTTCTGTATACTACTCCTAAACATTATAATTATGTGGGAGTTTGAAGACAAGCATAGTATGGTCATAAGGAAGCAAGGGGATCAGCAGTGCTGTCATTGAAGCACGCTGGTCCATTGCCTTTTATAGGCCAGCCTTCCATAACATAGTAACTTGCAGGTGTTTTTTAGACTTCAAGTTGCATGATCCCTCACCAATGGCCATATTATCTGGGGTTCATGCAAACAACAACCCAAAATATGTGGAGGCCATCAAGAAAGAGAAGTCTGCTACAGGAGAAATGATCTCTTGAAGAAATCTGTGAGAATAATTTCCAGCAGGAAGATGAAATCAAGGATATATGAAATGGAAGATGGTAAGGAAAAGCAACTGCATAGTTTACCACCCCGATATTCTGTGTTATTGCGCCAGTCGTTGAGGTCTATTTCAGCAGTTCCAGCTATAACCAATTCTAGTTCTCTAGCGTCAAACACGGAAACAAGTCTTGAGTCTACAACCTGAAAAATAAAAGGCAGAGTTTACATATTTTTGCAAAAACTTAGATCGCCCTGCCTCCCACCTGACCTTTAGGAAAAGAGTGAAAACCTGGCTCTTTGAGCAAGCTTTTGTAACCTCACTGTAACCAGATAACTCAGTATTGTGAATGAACATGGAATGGCTTAATGAGGCAAATGGACGTGGATTTTATTTATTTTTATAGTTTTAAACTGTTTTATTATGAATTTTATTATGTGATTTAATCTGTTTTAAATGATGTATTTATGTGTGTTCGGCGTCTAATGTTGCCAGTCTGTATGCTGCCCTGAGTCACCTTCGGGCTGAAAAGGGCAGGATAAAAGTGTAGTAAATAAATAAATAAATAAATTGCAAAAAATAGCATTTAACAAATAAATATATGTAAATCTACTAAATTAGATATGTCTGTACATACCGATAACTGCACTGTCAGGATTAGGGAAGCAAGTTCTTACTATATGCAGAGAATACTTATTTCTTGATCACACAGGTTTATTTACTCCTTTCTTCACATAGTAGATTAAATTATTTCTCTCATCCCACCAATAATCTTAAAAGTACATGTATAACACAGAGATGTTATACAGAAACACGTATAAGCTTCAGATGCTTATTACATAAAGAACTTTTGCATTATCTACTTATGATCAATAAATCTGAGATGTATTAGTAATTCTACAGAATGAAGAATACAGAAACATAGACATGTCTTTGAAGGTCTTTTATAATTCTTAAACCAGTGAGAGAGAGAGAGAAAGAAAGAGAGAGAGAGATACACACACACACACACAAAATCTATATATACACACACAATCTTGTATGCTACCCTGCCTCCGCCCCAAGTCTATATAACCATTTTTTTAACATTACGATCAGTAGCAGTTTGACCAAACAAATGTTTCTTTTCATTCAAGAGCAACTACTGATTATCTAGTATTATATACATAATCTACATAAAATATCCCTATTAGATGAGATAGATTCCATTACTTAATCCCAGACAGAATAAACACTTCCTTTACTGCCATTGGATTGCCTTTTTTGCCCATGATCCTGACAACTTGACTATCCAAATTTAGCAACTTACTTCATAGAAGCCACGGACTAGAGCCTCTGTCTGCTGAACAACCCCTCTTTCCACTCTCCACTTCACCATTCTTTCAATATATTCCTTCTTGTTCTTTTCAGTCACCTGTGTATTTGCACCCCCAGATTTCAACTCCCGTTCTGTTACCTGCGAAACACATTGATCATCAAAAGTAAATATTAGAGTACTATGCAAATGAACTTATAGCAACAAGTGTTTCAAAATTCATGTACCGACCAAAAAGCAGTTTTAAATGTTTATTTTTCCAAGAGCTTTTACAAAAATTATGTATTATGCTGCTTTGTATTACATTTTGAGCATTTGTTATTAATGTTTTCAAATGATGTGACTTCTATACCTACCATGTGCTGCAACAGACAAGAAATACTTCACACTTGGACTGGGAAGGCTGAGATTCAAATGCCTGAAGCTCACTAGGACAGCTGGAAACCAGGTTCAGACTATTTGGGCAGATTGTAACTTCCTGTATGAACTTGCCTGGGTCCTTAGATCCTCAGAGAGGCCCTTCATTCAGTCCCACCGCTATTGCAATCAAGGTTGGTGGGAATGTAAGAGAGGACCTTCTCAGTGGATGTCCCCCGATTCTCGAACTCCCTGCCTTGGGAAGCCAGAATGACTTTCTCCCAGATGTGGCCATTCTGGTCTCCCTAGGCAGAGAGTTTGTCTCATAGGTAGCAGCAGGCATAAACCTTTTTTATTCATGCAAACTTAAAAAAAATATTTTTAAGGATGAGTCAGAAGGGGTTGTGTAGTATTTTAATTATTTTTTAAACATTTTGTACGAGGGGTATTTTTAAAGTAAGGTCTGTTTTGTTGTAGACACTAGTAGTTCGCGCGCATACTGCAACGAGCGCGTGCGTCGTGTACCGGCATGCCTCAGGAACAACTGTGCTCAGTTTCCGCTCTGTAGCTAACCTGTACGGTTCTGTTCTGTGTTTTAAAAATGTTTAAGACTATCAATTCACCCTCTGCATGTGAGGTTCGCTCAGTGATACGGTTTTTGTCAGCAAGAAACCTGCCAGCTGCAGAAATTCATTGACAGATTTGTGAAGTGTACAGTGATACTGTTATGAGTGAAAGCAAAGTGCGTAAGTGGGTACGACAATTCAAAGATGGCCGTGACAACGTCCATGATGAGGACCGCTACAGTCACCCTTCTTTGATTACAGACGATTTGGTGGCTTTTGGTGGCGGCAAGTTTTTATGAAGAGGGTATTTTAAAATTGGTTCAGAGGTATGGTAAGTGTTTGAACAAACTTGGCAACTATGTCGAAAAATAGAGTGAAGTATGTACTTTCTGAAAATAAATTTACTTTTTTGAAATAAACTTTCGTTGTGTACTTATGTTCAAACAGACCTTACTTTAAAAATACCCCTCGTAGTAGCTTTATTTGATTTTAACTGATTTCTTTTTAACAATTATATGTCCAATTCTATTTTAATATGTATATGTTGTACCTTAAAAACTGTATTGTTTTTAATGCTGTGAGCCACTTGAGTCTTGTTTAAGAGTGAAGTGAGATATAAATAATAATAATAATAATAATAATAATAATAATAATAATAATAATAATAAACACATAGCCTGAAGATAATTTCATACAGGGTTTTAATGTTGTGCCTAAAACAACGTTTGTGTATATTGAACCATCAGAAAGCAATATCTTGCTACCTCAGTCACCCATGTGGACAATTTTGGATTTTGGAGTTCCAGATAAGGGCTGTACAACTTATATTCTAGTTTGAGATATATAGTTTATGCGCAACTCGGCTCGAACCTGAGGGTTCAGGTTTTGGGACTTGGGGGGGGGGGGGCAGCTAAGTTTAGATCAACAGAAAACAAAAAGGGACTATGAAATATTGTCTTGTTTTGTCCAGCCAACTAAAATTGATCATTCTAACTTTTTTGTTTCATCTTTGTGATTTATCACCATTCTTATTTATGCTGATGGACAGCATGTACCTGTTTCGATACAGTCAAAATGCCAAACAGGGCATAGGGTAACAACCTGTGTTGGATGGGGTTACATTCCCCCTGAAGACTCAGGTTCGCAACTTGGGAGTGATCCTGGATTCATCGCTGAGCTTGGAACCCCAGGTTTCAGTGGTGGCCAGGGGAGCTTTTGTACAATTAAAACTTGTGTGCCAGCTGTGCCCGTACCTTGGGAAGTCTGACTTGGCCACAGTGGTACACACTCTTGTTACATTCCAAATAGATTACTGCAACATGCTCTATGTTGGATTGCCTTTGAAGTCTGTTCAAAAGCCTCCATTAGTCCAACGAGCGGCAGCCAGACTGTTCATCTGAGTGGCGTACAGAGAGCGTACCACCCCCCTGTTATGTCAGCTCCACTGGCTGCCAGTCTACTACCAAGCACAATTCAAAATGCTGGCTTGGGCCTATAAAGCCATATATGGTTCCGGCCTAGCTTACTTGTCCAAATGTATCTCCCTCTATGGTCCACCTTGGAGTTTAACATTGTCGGGGGAGGCCTCACTCAAGACAAACATTTATTAATAACTAACGTATGTATCCAGTATTGCCCAGATATGCATTTTCTAATGCTATGTATTAGAAATACTCATTGCTAACTTTACAATTTTATGAATGGTCCAATTAGAAAATGTATTGCTGAGCTACTGAACTTGCTGACCGAAAGATTGGCAGTTCAAATCTGGGAATCTGTTAGCCCCAGCTTCTGCCAACCTAGTGGTGGGAAGGTAATGGTGCTCCATTCAGTCATGCCGGCCACATGACCCCGGAGGCATCTATGGTGAACCCTAACCCGGTTCTTCTCCTTAGAAATTGAGATGTGCACTACCCCCAGAGTCAGACATGATTAGACTTAATGTCAAAAGGAAACCTTTACCTTTACCATCTTTGCAACACAAACACACCTAATTGAAAGTCATACTTTTCACCTCCCTACCTCCTTGCTGTTTTTATTGCAACCTTTTCCAGTCAACATCCTTTTCCTTCCAATATTACCAACCTCGACTGCAGTATGTTTTTTAATGTTTTCTGTTTCTTAATTTCTAGCTCTCTTAGTTTTCTGCCATTTAGTTCAGGTAATCAGATCCTTCCTGTTTGAATTTACTTGTTTCACCTCTATATTTGAGGTTTTTCCCATGCACCTACCTACCTGTCCAAACACTTCCTCATTAACTGTGAAAGTGAGATCCAGGATATCAGTGATGTTGTTGTCTTTCATCCACTGTAAACTTTGATGGAACTCCTCATCCAGATACTCCAAGTCACTAAGGTCACACGGCCTGGTGAAGTAACAGAACACAAACAATGCTGCAAACTTCTGGCCTCTGATTTATTTCACAGGCAACAAAGTGCCCCCATTTTAAAGCCAAGCAGCTATGAGCATTTGCTTATCTATCACAAGAAAGTTTGCACATCAGACTTGTAGCCATGGTTGCTAAATGGAACCAGAAAGATTGCCCAATGCTGTGGACAATGGGTTGCTTTGACATCTTACTGTGGGTTTCTTGAAGAACCTGGCTGGCCATTCTTGGACATTAAAGGCTTTGCCAGATAGATTTGCGAGAGGTTATATACCTTATTGGTTATGTCAGATGAGAGATCACAGATGCATGTGGCATATTTCCTGTACTAACAAAGCAAAAACCTGCCTGTGTACTTGGTTTGAATATGCTGCAATGTGGCTGTTATTTGTTCTTGTTTTTTTAATTTCCATCAAATACTTGCTTTCTTATAAAGAAGGAGATGGAGAATGATCCAATCTAGAATTTTTATAAACAGAAATTGCTATGGTGATATGTACGTTCTACTCATGAACCAAAACTGTTGTTCTAGGTGCACTCAATAAATATAATGTTATGTTGATTTGGGTGAGCAAACCGGTCTAGCTTGGACAAGCAATTATTTTCTGGTGGGGAAAGTGGCCCACTATTATTTTCATTCCATTTGAAGGGTTTTCAGAGGCACTTGTGCTATGGAACATTTTGGAAATACAGGGCTTGTAGAAATAATGCCACAGTAAAGATGGCCACAGTGACAAGTAACTGAATCTTTAAAGTTTGCCCTCATATTTTTCATCTTTACTTGATTATGCTCCTCCTTCTCATGCCCACCTCCCATAGCTATTTGAACACACAAGCATAAGGCTAAGGATATTTTGGAAAGTATGAAATGTTGCTTTTTTTTTTTTTTTACTAATGCTGGTGGTTGCCATATAGCATAACCTGGAAGCTGATCTCAGCCATGCATGACATTGGAAAGATGCCCCACAGAATTCAATGGGACATTTCTATAGCTGTGTTTAATTCCTGCAACTAAAAGGAAGACGATACAGTATTGAATCCAACCCTCCATTACAAATACTCACAGCCTTAACAATGCTTTGTAGAATGGCCTTGTGAAGAAAGCATCAAGAAGGTACTGGTGAATAAGAGCAAGGCCAAGGATACGGCCACTGAACCGAAACCTGCCATAGAAAGAAAGAAAAAAATAAAGATTATAATTCAGGAGACCAAAATTTGGTGAGTCTTTACATCATCCAACAACAAAAAGTGACTGCATGAATTTTGTAGGATTTTCCTAGGCAACTAATACTCATTGTTGTTCTCATTATATAGCCTACACTACCTGTTACTCCTTAGTTCAAGTAATAACCAAGTTTGACACTCCTTACCTTCCAAAAATAGATAGGATCTGGGACCGTCAAAATATTTTGGTCATTCTCAAGAAGGCTACAGGGTTTCCATTGCCCTTTCCCATTTTGAGAATACCAATCTTCTGGCAGCAGGCATTTGGGGAAGGATAAGGGGCAGGCTTTGTGTATGTGATGGTAGGATAGGGCTGTGAGTCTTAAAGGCTATTTTAGGATTATATTTTAATCTGTTTTTTTCCACACTGTACTATTTAATTGTTTTTGAACATCTGTATTGCACTTTTTAAACTTGACTCAAGTATGGGATTGTCAGCCACCTCGAGTCTCCATGGGGAGAAAGGCAGAGAATAAATGAAGTTAATAATAATAATAATAATATCCAGTTCTATAAAAGTCTAGTAGTGAGTTGCTAAGGCATTTCCTTAATATAGTGTTTTAGATCATTTTTCATGATTTCAAAGTGCACTGAATAAATAATATTTCTTTTTGTGAAATGTCTCATTTTCTAAAGCTATTTTTTTCTGAAGCTTCACATTTAAAATTTAAAATTATTTTAAATTTTAATTACATTTGACCCAGCCATAGACTTTAAATGTGTGTTGTGCTCTTGTCAATGTTTATGCTATTTGTGTTTGAGATTTATTTTAATTGCTTTGTATTGTTGTTATTGTTTGTATTGATGTATTGTGGGCTCGGCCTTATGTAAGCCGCACCGAGTCCCTTGGGGAGATGGTAGCAGGGTACAAATAAAGTTTTATTATTATTATTATTATTATTATTATTATTATTATTATTAATAATAATAATAATAATAATACATATTTAATAAGCCTTGGCACTATAAGAGGATTTTGAGAGAGCAGTCGCTCTTGTTGCAACAGTGTAGTAACGGTGAGGCCTTGGACCATATTTTAATTTTTGTGGACCACTGGTGGTTCATAGACCACAGTTTGGGAACCATTAGACTAGATGGAGATAATGCTAAAGAGAGATTTAACCTATCATTCCTAGCTGTGACATACAATTTCTAATATGCAATAAGACTTTAAAGAAAAAAGCCCCATGGGGCTGAAATCTTTATTTATGCCAAACATCTAAATCTTTCTGTCACTTCTAACTGGAATAGATCGAATGTATCAATGAGATTTGCCTGATCGTTGGGTCACCATTCAGCAATTGATTAGTGGGGCCTGTTGTATTTGGAAGTAACAAACAGGATAAAAGACAGTCTTATATGCAACATTGGTGATGTTTAGGAATGTGAATGATGATGATGGTGATGATGATAATTCTTTATTTCTTTTCCACCCTATCTCCCCAAAGGGACTCAAACACAGAGCTGTCTGCTGCTCACATGGTGCTCTGGAAGGTTAATCAAAAGGATATGTGCCTCTTGGACCAGGCCAATACATGACAGTCATCTGTATGCTGGGAAGAGTTTTACTTGATATTTCTTTTTCCTCCCAGGCAGTTAGAGACCAAGATATTTTACAAAAAAGAAGGCAGCAACCCTATTACTGAATATCCACTGAAAATTCGAGCCTTCATCTCCATGCTACCCATTCTCCTCATTTCTCATTCCTTCTTTGACTCTAGGGAATACTTTAAAATAACTTTTTTAAATGAACTACATTTTAAAAACAGCTAATAAAAATCACCATAAAACCAACCGTGCATCTCTCAAAGACTTTAAATTTGATACAGTTTGATAAGGTGTGATTTTTGGGTAAAATAAAACTTGTACATAAGAACAAAGAGCACTAAATTAAATCCTACCCGGAAGACAAGTATCTTGATTAAACCTGACTCTTGTTTATTTTTTAAAGTAAGGATAAAATGACCAGGAATTGAGGAGTGTTTTAGAGAAGGAGAAAAAAAATCTGTTTTAATGAATTGCTTTCACATGGTACTGAATTACTATTAATTGATTAATTAAGAATGAGCACAGATTTAGTTTTTATTAAAAGGGTATATAGCTACATGGAAAGTAGGGGAATATTGTGGAGGAGATAGAAAAGTAGAAAATAAAGTAGAACAAAGGTAATTTTTTTAAAGAGCTTGTCCCAACGGTGTACAGGGCCTCTCTAATGAAAAAAGGAGGGGGGAAAAGGAAAAAAGCAAGGAAAAGAGAGAGAAAAAGAAATATCAAAACAATAAAAAAGGGAAAAATGTAGTAGGACTTCCATCTATTCTTTGAAGATCTTTTGTAAATTTTTCCAGCAATGGTGTTAATAATTGCTTCCCTATTTTGGTTCTTCTTTAGCTTCTCTTTTGTCTTTCAAGTAATGATCTCTGGATCTTAATATGTTGTTCCCAATGATGGACAGTAACAACAATGGTTCAACTCAAACTTTGCATTAAATATGAGATAAATATGGATTTTTCACTATCTGTGGATCAGTATCACAGATATGGATTGGATTCATACATAACCCATACATGGAAAACTGTCTTTTATTGTGGCTTCCAGGAATATGTGTATATTGTAAACAAATAAACATAAATTAGAATTATTAAATACTATATGTGTATTTTACATTAATTCCTGCAAGCACATGGTTTCTATGTAGGAATTTAGTAATATATGAATAGTGTTCCAAGAAGCAGCTGATGATTCAGGATAAGTCCATTTGGGTGTGGATAGAGAAAATTTTCATTTTTAATAAAAAAATAATGTAACAAGACATCTGTTTCATCTGCAGAGGGGTTTTCTAATGTTACATTGAGTTTCCTTTGCATTTCAAATATATTTTTCAGCAAGTGTGACATATATTTAATCTTTAATGCTGAATGAAATAGTGTAGGAAGCTATATTCATGCACTGGTATGTTGCATAAAAGGTGTTAAATCTCAACCTTTCTATGAAAGCAAAATATTTTCCACTCATTATGTCTGTTTTTACTTAGCTTGCAGAGACTTTTCCGTACTTTGATCTGTTCATTCAGGAACTGGAGTACTTTTCTTTTTAACACAAAGAAGAAGGCAAAAAGTAGCCTATTACCTAATTTTATACGAAGCTGTTACATAAACTATTACAGTGCCCAAGCTAAAAATAACGGGCCTTTTCAAGTTCTTTGATCATATGCATAGTTAACATTTCATCTCAGTCTTCTTTGACATAGAAGTACTTTCTTCCATGTTTCAGGACCACTTTTGTGAGATGGTCCTGGAACACAGCTTTGGAATATAAGCATTGTGCCTTTCTCGGATTTCTCTTTCCCTCTGGGTGCCTTCAAGACCAGTTCTTTAAACTGTTGTCAGAAAGGGGATTTGACTTTGACTTGTGGTAACATCATGCATAACATCTACTTCATTATCCCCACACTGCACACTGTTAATCTTTTGGGAGAAGACTGAGGCAAAGAAGGTGTTGAGCAGTTCTGCCTTTTCTCTGTTCCTTGTTAGCATTTTGCCATCACTTATATGCAGTGGCTCTATCATTTCCTAAAAACCCTTTTGTTTTTAATCTCCCTAATCAGCATGACCTGGTTTTCTAACTTTCTCCTTACACATGCTAGCTATTCCTTTGAATTCCTCTTTGGTGATTTCTCCCTTTTTCCATTTCTTATACTTGCCCCTTTTAAATCTTGGTTCAAATGAAAGTTCCTTAGACATACATTCTGGTTTCTTTAAATACCTCCTTTTCCCCCCTTCTCATTAGGAATGTGTGAAATTGTGTCTCCAATTTCTCAGTTTTCAGAAACTTCCATCCAGCACAAACTCCCTTTTCTTTTATTATTTCTGACCAAGGGATCACATTCAGTTTTCTGAAGCCATCTTCCTTAATTCTAGAGTGAGTGTCTGACTATGCTTGACTTCTGTATAACAAACACTAGACAAATATGGTCATTCCTACCTCAGAAACCTGCCACTTTCATCCCTACCAAGACCACGCTGTTGGTTAGAATCCAATCTAAAATAGCTTTTTGCCTCTTCCACCTTCTGGACAATGAAATTGTTTGCAGGGCAAGTTAGGAATTTGTTGGACCAGATATTCTTGTCAGAGTTTGTCCTCCAACAATTATCAGGATAGTTAAAATTTACCATTACTATTTCATATTTCCTTTCTGAGGTCATCTGTTCTAAGAAGACATCATCCAAGTCTTTGGTCTGGCTTGGAGCTCTGTGGCAGACCCCCACAATGGCATTCTTATTATTTCTTTTCCCCTATTTTTTTAGCCCGATACCCCCAACCTGGCTTCCACTTTTAAGTCATGGGCCTCCTCACAGTTGTAAACATCCTTGATATACAATGTTGCTTCTTTCCTGTTTGGTCTGTTTTTCAGAAATAGGTTATACTCTTCTATTACTACATTCCAATCATGAGTCTTGTCACACAGGTTTCAGCAATGCCAATTATAACACATTTCATAGAATCAAAGAATTGGAAGAGACCTCATGGGCCATCCAGTCCAACCCCCTGCCAAGAAGCAAGAATATTGCATTCAAAGCACCCCTGACAGATGGCCATCCAGCCTCTGTTGAAAAGCTTCCAAAGAAGGAGCCTCCACCACACTCTGGGGCAGAGAGTTCCACTGCTGAACGGCTCTCACAGTCAGGAAGTTCTTCCTCATGTTCAGATGGAATCTCCTTTCTTGTAGTTTGAAGCCATTGTTCCTTGTCCTAATCTCCATGGAAGCAGTAAACAAGCTTACTTTTCTTTGTGGTATTAAGAATTCAAGTTCATCTTGTTTATTTCCTATGCTTTGTGCATTTGTATAGAGACACCGAAAAACACGGACCACCCCCCAGCTGCTTATTTAAGTCATTTAATTGATATAAAATGATAATGTAACAAGGACCAGCAGTGTGTTATTTACTGTGAAAAAAAGTATTCACACTGCAAGAGCAAGGGATTCCAATCAGAGAAAAGTTCAGCCATCTTGATATTTGTAAAGAAAAACTACATAGGGATATTCTGTCTTCCTTTTGTGCACTAAAATCACTGCTTCTTGTATTATTGGTCTTCGTTCTCATCATCTGCTATACATAGTTGAGCTAATGCTTATAATAAAATAGGGGAAACAAAGATTCTCATTCTCTCCCTCTCTCTGTTTATCAGGAGTCATAAGAAACTTACCATTCTAGGTGGTTTTCTACAAATGCTGACATGGGGCTAATCTGTACAGTGTAAGTGTCATTGGCGGAATACTCAAACAGGCCATAGTACGGATTGAAGAGCTCCTGAGACAGAAGGAAGAAGAATTCTCTGGATGGACCACTGTAATCCAAGCTGTAAAAACATGGAATGGAGGGCTTTTACTAGTCATACACATTTCATGTCACAGGTAATTGCCATCTTCAAACAGGTATGGGGACTATGTAGCCATCCAGATGTTACTAGCCTACAGCTCCCTCAGTACGAGAATGACTGTGAATTGCAGTCTACCGACATTTGAAAGGCCGCACATGTCCTGCTGCAAAACAAGCCAAGGAAGCAGATACTCTAAAATATTGTATTTAGAAAAGAAAGATTGTTATTTATGTCTTATAAAACCAAGCAAATGTTAATGGAATTGCTAATCAGTACACTTCCACCGACAGCAATTTCTGGCTTTACAATTTGTTAATCAATATATATATATATATATATATATATATATATATATATATATAGATTATATAAATATATATATAAAAACAAGAAATGTATGTATGTGTATCTATGTATATACATTTCTTGGTTTTGTTGTTGTTGTATATACCTTACTATTTTTAGAATTCCCCAATTATACTCTGTTTCAATATTAGCATGCATTTTTTAAAAACTAAAGGTTGTATCTAGGTTGTTTGTTTGTTTGTTTGTATGAATCTGTTAGAAAACTACGATCCTCTGAGGAGGTTTTCCTCTCTGTCCCACCACCCGCTCAAGCGCATTTGGTGGGAATAAGGGAGGGCCCTTTCCATGGCTGCTCCCAGTATTAACAGAGGACAAATAGCCCCAACTAGTGTGTTTAGCAAATGAAAGATTCAGAATTCTTCATACCATTCATACTTGTGTGTAAGATGATATCATGTATAAGTTAAGGGCAGGTTTTGGATTTTCACATGACTGGTAGATAAATCAAGGGTACAGTTTAAGAGGTCTGCTGAAGCAGGGCTCCTGTACATTCTCTGCCATGGCATTTATGGGAGGATTGGCACTCTTTAACCACAAGACTGTGCCTGTAAGGATTGCTTATTCCATCCAAGCCTTGTCTCTGTAACAGAAATGCCTCCTCCCCTCCTTGCACCTTGGCAGGATAGAATCATAGAATCATAGAGTTGGAAGAGACCTCATGGGCCATCCAGTCCAACCCCCTGCCAAGAAGCAGGAATATTGCATTCAAAGCACCCCTGACAGATGGCCATCCAGCCTCTGTTTAAAAGATTTAAAGAGCTCCACTGAGACAAGGAGAATGCATAATTGCTTGTGTTTTTGCATGTATCGGTGTTTATTTTTTAGGAGGCTGTAACAGAAACACCCCCCTTAAACACGCACACTCTACTCCTTGGCAGTTTTAAATAGCCCTGCTGAAGCTAGGAGAATGTTGTTTGCTTGCTTGTTGAGGCGAACAGAATGTTTGCTTATTTGTGTGTGTGTACTGGCATTCCTTTTTAGCATAAATGTTTCGACCTACACATGAGTATATACTGTATTTCTTCAGTTCACATACTTTTCCCCTATATAAACACATCTAAAATGAGATGCATCTTAGAATCGCAGGTGTATCTTATGTATTTTTGTTGGTGGTGGTGATACTGAAATTAGGGTGCATCCCACAAGAGATGGAATTTTACAATTGAAGAAATATGGCACATTATATGATTGTGGCTACCTACCCTTCTTCCCCAACGAATGTGACATAGAGCTTATTTCTTTGGAGCTCTTTTCGTGAATACGCCATCACCTGATTGAAAGTGCCTTCCAGCAGGTGGTCACGCCTTATTATCAATCTGCAGTTGGACAAGGAATGAAAACCAAGGATGAAAACTGACTGTCAGTGCCACAAAGAGATCATTATTCCTGTTTATGCAGAATAAATAAGAACTAGTAAAGTACTAATTTATGACACTCCATATATTGCTGAATCCCCAAATTCATTCACTACTGGCAATGATAGAAGGCAGTGGGGTCAAACTTGTGGTCCTCTAAGTGTTTTGGATTTCAGCTCCTAGAATTCCTGGCAACTTGACACAAATATTCCATATGCCCAAATATGAACACAGATGGAGTTTGGGGGAAATAGACCCTGACATTTGGGAGTTGTAGTTACTGGGATTTATAATTCACCTACAATCAAAGAGCATTCAGAACCCCACCAACGACAGAATTGGGCAAAATTCCCACACAGAACCCCCATGACCAACAGAAAATACTTAAGGCCAGTGAGTCTAACTCCTTTTACCAGGGTAAGAATACACAATCAAAGCCCTCCTGACAACAAGCCATCCAGCCATAGATATAGATAGATATATATGATTCACACATACACATATAGTATTATAGATTTGAAAGGGACCCCTAAAGAAGGACAATTATATATTGCATGTTCCAGAGTAGGCAAACCAGACAATCTCTACATCAACACTGACAAAGAAACAACAAGAAGTACTGTTTACCCACAAGTATCAAGACATTACATCTATTAGAAACCACAGTTTCTCATTACTTTATTTTCCAGATCAGCAGACTGGGCCACAGCAACGCATGGCAGGGAATGGCTAGTGTAGAATAAATAAGAACTAGTAACATACTAATTTAGGGATGAAAACATATGACACTCCATATATTGCTGAATCCCAAAATTCATTCACTACTAGCAATGATAGAAGGCAGTGGTGTCAAACTTGTGGCCCTCTAAGTGTTTTGGATTTCAGCTCCTAGAATTCCTGGCCACTGGACAAACTCAGTAGGGCTTCTGAGAGTTGGACTCCCAAACATCTGGTGGGCCACAAGTTTGGCAGCTCTGATATAAGGGATAATGGGAGTTGCAAGTCAACAACATGTCCCCTACTCCTGTTCCAACCAAAAACATAGTTCTGCAATATTGTTGAACCTATAACTGAAACAGATTTCAAACCAGTTCCATTAAATCAATAAAATAAAACAAGAGCACACAGATGGCCAACAGTTGATCGAATTAGAAACCAGGTGAAATTATGGTTTGCATAAGAGCTGGACCAAGGCTCTAGGGAGAAATCCTGGCCTCAATTCTGAGGGAATGGAAAAGGGGCTCACGTTTTCCATTCACATTCATTTTCACTACTATCAATACCACAGTATCAGCAGAAGTCCCCCAGGAACCATTTCTCTTTCCCCTTCAGAATGACCTTATAAATGATCATCATCCTCTCAAAGTTACTTAATAATAATTCTAAAGCATCATGGAAGGTAATTTCTTTTGCATTTTGTGCGACAAAATTGGGCAGCGTAAAACAGCTCAATTGTCTAACAAACGGGAAGCATATTGAAAAACATAAGCTGGCATGCTAAAAACTAAAATGTTTGGCTGTTTTTGTTGCTGTAGCATTGTTGCTTTAGTAATGGCTAGAAAGATTCTGGCCATCACTATTCATAAAGAAAGATTCTTTATGAATATTAGTAGAGGAATCCATGTGTCTTGGAGAGGGGAGAGACTATTAAACGTTTTAAAAAATTGGGGACATGAGACCAACACTATATCCTGGAGGAAGCATACACAGTCTCCAGACTTTCCCAAGTAATCCACCCAGTTTTATTCTTTACTAGCCATCCCCTGCCATGCATTGCTGTGGCCCACATGGGAGTTCTGTGTGGGAGGTTTGGCCCAATTCTATCGTTGGTGGGGTTCAGAATGCTCTGTGATTATAGGTGAACTATAAATCCCAGCAACTGCAACTCCCAAATGTCAAGATTCTATTTTCCCCAAACCCCACCAGTGTTCACATTTGGGCATATTGAGTATTCGTGTAGAGTTTGGTCCAGATCCATCATTGTGAGTCCATAGTGTTCCCTGGATGTAGGTGAACTACAACTCCAAAACCAAAGGACACTGCCCACTAAACCTTTCCAGTATTTTCTGTTGGTAATGGGAGTTCTGTGTGCCAAGTTTGGTTCAATTCCATCGTTGATGGGGTTCAGAATGCTCTTTGATTGTAGGTGAACTATAAATCCCAGCAACTACAACTCCCAAATGACAAAATCATTTTTTTGAGTGAAGGACATACATTCGGTTATTAGGTGTCTTGTGTCCAAATTTGGTGTCAATACAACTGGTGGTTTTTGAGTTCTGTTAATCCCACAAATGAACATTACATTTTTATTTATATAGATTCTGTAAACATTCCCCAAATTGTTCCTTTTTCTTTCATCATTTATCTTTATGACACAATTATTTGCTCTCGGATTTGCAGCATTAATAAATACTTACTTAATTTTACCTGGACCCTGGCCATATCCTTTGGCTTCTAGTTTTCTATAAAAATTGCGGAGCTTGGCTTCAAAATCTCTCCTGTATGGAGAGGGTGCTCTTGCACTGGCACGTTGCAGACCTGATAGAGGAAAATACAGAAGGCTGAAGTGACTTTGTTAATTTCATACAGTGTTTTAACTAATACTTGTAAAAAAAAAACCCAACATTGCATCAGAATAATCAAATATTGTTTGGTTTAACTGTTGCATTTATAAACAATTCATACTTCATTGCTTTTGCAGTATAAAGGGAAATTATCTGGCACTTCCTGGATTGGGGGATCTTACTTATGATTTGAGACAAAGGAATGATTGTTAGAGCTTGCAAGCCATAACATTGGTTTCACCTCAATTCCATGCACCAAATGAACCAAAACCAACAATTAACTTTTAAAAAGTCAGAACAAATGTTCAGGATGATAGACAATTTGAGCCAAACTTGAGCCATAATAATAAATAAAATACTGGTGGAGCAGAGCTAACCAGTGTTAAGCCCAACTTCTCTGCTTATATTGCTCCATCAAGCATTGCTTTGTTATACTTTTGTATATGATATGTAGTATAGGGATGCATATCAGCCTACTAAAAAAAACAAAACAGTTTCTTGGTGTCTTGGTTTTTAGGCCTGTTCCTGGAGTTATTTGAGGTGCCGATTCAGAAAATTGCATCAGAGAGACTGCATCAGTTCTTGTTTCTTAGATAAAGTTATCATATTTTTTTATGGATGAGCAGATGGTAACTGGAAGATGCCATATCTTCTGTATACCAAAAACAAGAGCTGATATAGGAAATCTGGTGACATTTTTGGAATCAGAAGATCAATTATACCCAGAAACAGGGTGAAAATTTGAGGCACAAAAATTTGTGCTGGCCAGTATAATTCTGTGTCATGACAGGATGGCAGATTTTCTTTAACATGCTTCCCAATAATGGAAAATCTTCAGCATTTCAGATTCTGTTTGTGAGACAATATTCTGAATATGGCCCAATTTATTCTTTCTTGCAAATGATGTAAGGTAGGAGAAAAGAAAGAGAGAGATGGAATCACATTTCCTCATCTTGTTTAGAGGACAAGTTGAAAAAAAGTAATGTTTGGCAAGAACATTCACCACAGGAAGGCAAAATATCAAATACGTCTTGATAGTGGATGGAAAAACAAAGCATTGGAGAAGGTTCATTTTCAGATATAGAATTGCAAGCCAATCCACTTTGGAAACTAGAAACAATTAAGCCCTTTGAATGCAAAGCCAAATTTGTTTTAAAATATTTTTGGTGCTTCACAAAGGGAGGCATTTTGAACCCAACAAAATCTGGCTATAAATCCTTAATTTCTAGTGTTTTACCTGGAGAATTCTGAGGTGATGAACAAGGTGAACAGCGAGGGGAAAAGCTGTAGCCGGGATGGAAAGCTGCTTGAAGGGGTATGTAGGACATAACATCTTCTTCAAAAAGGCTGGCAGAGAGAGAAATAGGAAACACTGTTCAATGTAATTTTGAGGCACAATAATGAATTGCCAATGCCTATCAAATATGCCTTGAGCAGGATATACATGCACATTATGAATCTATTTTGAAGAATTTTATTGTCCCTCCAATCTGAATATTTATGCCATCTCCAAAGAGAAAAAGGGATAATGGCTTCAGCAAGAAAGACCACAAGTTATGGTGTCTTCCATAGCCTAGTCCACTTTCCACTTGGTCAGAGCTCTCTCCTCATAGAATCATAGAATCAAAGAGTTGGAAGAGACCTCATGGGCCATCCAGTCCAACCCCCTGCCAAGAAGCATTACCAAAGAGCTGGTTTATGTTTCCCATTTCCTGTCATTTCCTGAGTGCTAGACATGAGCAGGTTCCAGGCTGCTTCTCAGCTGTACAGGAATATTGGACAATAGGAATCTCTATATATCATGAAAAGTCCATTACTGGATAACATTATGACTTTAATTCAGCACACAGTACAATTACGATTTTTGATACATGTTTTCATTTCATATGAAGACCAATATTCTAAAGTGCATATTCTCATTCTGCTCTAATTTCAGAAATTGTATCTCTCTTTAGTAGGAACTCAATAGTTATAGTACAGTATTAATTTTATATCCTATTAACTGTGCTTGATAAATGCCTAGAGGTTCTTCACGTTTAAGGGGGTGGCTGACTACCCTGATGCAGTGGTTCCCAACCTTTGGGTCTCCAGGAGTTTTGGACTTCAGCTCTCAGAAATCCCAGCCAGCTTACCCGTTCCATCTTCCAGGAGCTTGGTTTGCATTGTCTTTTAGTTGCATGGGATAGCATTCTTTTGCATTTCCCCAGGGTTGCTACAGTCTCAGCTGCACCCTGAAAGTTAACATTAACAGAGACTGGAAAGCCAGCCTACAGGCCTTTTGCAGCTATTGGTTTAGAAAAGTATCTCTTTGGGTCTAAGGACCGCCCTTTTTCCTGGGGATGAGTTCTCCATTTTGGAATCTCCCCTGCCTCCTTCAGTTTAGAAAAAAAGAAGAAGCCTGAGATGTGCTGTTAGGTCAAGCTAAGGCAGCTCTGACTAGCCATTGTAAGTACAATTGAGAAACTGAGATAGATAGAATAGCAATTGAGAAATTGAGATAGATAGAATAGGAATTGAGATATTGAGTTAGTTAGATAGAGAAGCTTGTTGAGAAACACATTGAGATAGATAGATAGATAGATAGATAGATAGATAGATAGATAGATAGATAGATAGAGTCCCAGAATTTCCCATTGGGGGAAGTTAACTTAGCAGCTGGAGGAAAAGGAAAGGAAAGAACATCTACATGGTTTCACAAATTGACTGTTTTATTTGTAACTTCAACAAGCTGTGCCAAGTCTGCAAAAGACTTTGAGAAATAGATATTCTGTTTGATGTTCAAGACCTGGACTGGCCTCTGTTGCTGAAAATCTTGAGCTTCTAAGAAAGACACCAGTGGTTCACCCAGATAAAGAGAGAAGCACATCTTAGTTTTAATTTTATAGTGTCTGGATGTGACAGCACATTGCCAGCTGTGAGGAACTGTGGGAGCTGAAGTCCAAAACACCTGGAGGCCCAAAGGTTGAAAACTACTGTAAGAGTATGGCCTGAGTAACAATTTTTGGAAGGAAGGGCTCAGGAATGGGATGAAACGTCATAATCAATTCTATTACCTCAATAGTATTACTAAATCTGCATCACAGGACAATTTTTCAAGACCATGTGTACCCTCTGTCCGGATATAGTGAATTTTCTCCCTAGAAAATGAAAAATACAGTAAAAAGTTGCAGTATTGATACAGAAAATGATAAATATACATGCATTGAAGATAATTTCCTATTTTAACAGGTAGAGGAAGGAATAAGGGGATTGACAATCCTGGGCTTGATCACTGGAATCAAAGTAGCTGGTACTTTAGGGGGAAGTGATCATGCAAAGCTAGAATTTGTAGCTGTGACAGGGAAATTAAGAGTATAGTCAAACACAGACATTACATTTTAGGAAATCTGGTTTTACAAATTGAAGAATTTAGTGGATGGAATCACACAGCTGGATGTGCACTGTTTACAAAATATTCTGATAAGATCTTTCATTTTCAATCAGCTATTTTTGATTCATAGATAAATCTAGGTAGTGATATGTGTCCCTCTACATGCAAAGCTACCACTGACTGATGGGCTCTCCCATTTCCTTTGCAGCAGATGTATTAAGTAATTTAGCAACAGGATGCAGTACCTGAGTGCGTGATTTCTTGCCAGACTTGGCTGACGCTCCTGCAGCATTTCAAAAATGTTGGGCTGGCGTAGAAATGCAACGATTTTGTCATTATATGCTGGAACACAGGGGTGAATAGGGAAACAAACAAGTTTTAGCCCAAGATAATTTTTCAGTTTTACTATTTATCTTTTGTTTTATTGGATTTTAATATTTTCAAAGTGAAAGTAACCTTGAAAGTCTTGGCAGAACAATGTAAGTACATAAATAACTACATAAATGTAGTCTAACAAGCAAGAAGAAGAGCTATAAATATGTTGTAATGACCAGGATTCCTCTCAGCAGGATATTGTACAGAATGATATGTGATACACTGTGCACTGTAATACTATGGTCACTTGCTCTGTGTTGTATGGAATAAGCAAGGATTCTGGAGAGCCATGGCTCAATTTGAACACTATCTGTGCCACTGAATACAGCCCACTTAATCCACACAACCCCCACACTTCCATTTTGTTTCTCCAGCAGCTAAATGAAGCAGGAAACATATTTTAGTATTTCATTTCATCCTGACATGTTGTTCCCTTTAAGCCAGGATCATTAACTAGGAATTTTCTCAACTTAAATATCATGGCTTGTTCGGGTTTATTTATACAAGACTTGATCCTATGTACACGCTAAGCAAACTATTTCTAGCATGTACAACTGTTCACACTAACAGGAGGTGTTAAGCAGGAGAGACTGAGCTGTGTAAACAAGCATGCTACTTTTACATATTTTGCCAAAATACTGACTTATCCTTTGGAATAAATGCAGCCATTCTCTTATACACTCGAGGAATAAGTAGCAGAACATCCTAAACATCTATACTTCTTTCTGTGCAAATCATTTTATGCATCTTATTTCCTGGCATTAAATACAGGGACTTCCTCCTCTTCGGTCCATGGTTATCTGACAGGCAACGCTTAGAGATAACTGCTTAATATTGTTTATAATGAGTAACACCTAACTCCAATAATGAGGATGCAAGAAATCTGTGGCCCCATCTCCACTGCCATATAATGCAGTTTCAGAATGCAGCTTAACTGTATTGAACTGGACTATATAAGTATACATTGCAATATAGTCTACTTCACTGCAGCTAAACTGCATTCTGAATGCATTATTTGGCAGTGGAGATAATAATAAAAACTTTATTTATATACCACTCTCTGAGGGGGACTCAGGGTGGTTTCCAAGTAACATCACCGAAACATAGAAAGTAAACAGCATAACAAAATTAGCAAAACAACGTAAGCATAAAATTATCACAATAACATATGTATATTAAAAATAATCCTGGTGATGGGGCCTATTATTTCAGAAGTCTCATGGTGTGTGAGCATTTTGATAGATTTTTTTCTTTCAAAATTGTAATAAGTAAAAAAACCCTTCTAATGCAAAAAAAATCATTTTTATAATACTGTAACAAAAAGCAACAAAGAACTGTTGTATAAACATTATAACTGATTATGGAAATTGACTGTTTTGGGTTTTTTTAAAACTCTCCAAACTCTGCCTGTGGGAAATATTCCTCTTACGTTATTTTGCCCTTATCGGAATTCCAACCAGTTACTTCCAGCGTTCTGTTTTTCTGCTTTCTTCAAGGTGAGCCATATTCCCTTGTTGAAAGCAGTGGTTATGTACAAGATTAGTGAAGGAAGAGGGCTATGCTTCTTTAAAATTCAAATATAACTGCCCCCTTTCGACTTTATTGCTCAAAGAGAATTTTAAAACCCACTAAGTAGAGCCCAGTCTATATAACGCAACAATTCATTTGTTAAAGATAACATTTTTATCCCACTACTTCATATTTTTATATTATATTTTTATAATTCTATTTTTTACATTGCATTTTGCTTTATGTTGAGATGTTTATGGCTTTATTATTGTTTATTTCAATGTGTTATGAGCCATCATGCAAAACACAAACCTGAAAGGACTATAAAGAATTACACAGACAACGAAATACAGTTAAAGTAAGTACCAGAGCTGAACGAAATATTCAGCCACCTATCCAGACCTATGAACTAGGCTTCTGCAATTCGGCCAAAAGGGATACTGTTTTGGGGTCTATTTTTGGCTAACCCCTCATTCCGTTTACCAGGAAGTTGCTTGAATTGGGAGGAGCGTTGCCGTTTTCATTCAGCAAAGATTCGGCCCACTGGCTACAAAGTGAAACTTTAAAGGCTCAAACCTCACTCATTTTAAGGCCTATCTGCATGAAATCTACCTCAGTTTTAGACCCCATGCACAACTTGCAGGCCTGCCAAGTGTACAAACAATAGAATAGTAGCTGGGGGTGGGTGGTTATCACTTCCCTGCTTTCTCCTTGCAAGTCCCTCATCCTTGAACTGAGAGACCTATTCTTATTAATGTGACCATAATACGATGAATTATATATACACCAGTGGTTAAAATAAGTAAACATGAGAAATTATGGCAAGAAATGATTGTAGAGTTTATCATGTAAACTCACTGAGAGGTTAACTGAAATACATACCCAGAGGCAAAGACTCATGATGGTGCTGATTTCGAATTGCTGTTACCAGGCTGTTTCCTGGTCTGGTCAATAGAGAAACACCTCTGTTGCGAGATACTTCTGATGCCTAGAAAGAAAAAGAACCATATGTGAGAAGGTTCTTAGTAATAATAATAAAAAGCTGATTGGTTTAAAAAAAACACCAATATTTACTGCCTGGTTGGCAGAGCTGGAGGAAGAACAGTGATCAGTATTAAAACAGGACTTGAACATTTTAACAAGTACTTAAAATAATTTGGGTAAGGGACTATTTCAGGGTTCCTAGTTAGATTAGAAACAGGGACTAAACATACAGTTTCTCCCCAGTAGACGGGACTGTGTGCATGGAAGCTGTAATCTCATCAGAGTGCCTTTCTGGAGGGAAACATGTGTAAATTAGATGTGTCATTTCCACCCCATTCTTCTTATCAAATATCTGATCTACATGTAATTATTTCTGAAAGAAATTCCAGTTTGCAGTCTGTGCAATGCACAATTTGTTCAGTAGTGTAATAAGTTGGGAGGAGTTAATTTAAAAATGGCAGTTTTGTAGAGTATTTGAGTATTACTCCAATAAGAAAATACATGTATTCTACAAATTAGTCTTGAACCCAAGGCTTCAGGCAAATGCCAATATAATTTAAATAGTATAACCAAGCAAGTAGCACATAGAAAGCTTTTATTAATTGGTTACAAATTAGAAGAAAATTCAGCAGTTAAATGTGATTTACAATTTGCCTCTGAAAAGAACATATACATAGTGCATAGGTAATGAGGAGGCAACCAATATACGAATACATGTGTTAAACAAGAAATAGCATGACTAATGAGAAGTGTTAATTAAGTGTTGCCTAGTAATGGAAAATATAAACCTCTTATGCACTTTGAGCTAAGCAAATAAAAATAAATAAATAAAAGGCCTTTTTTGACTCCTTGACTTTTTTATTTTTTGAGTGTAATTTGAGTAGTACAGGAATAATTCTTGGTGTGTTTGGATAGTTTTGCAGTAACAATCAAGCCTCAAGTATGAGCAACAGACTAATATGTAAATTTTTATGATAAGATGACAGAACAAATTCAAAACACAGAGGAGCTAGCTCTTGAGAGTAACAATGGTTTCAAGAATGAAGGCTCGGGCCTCCAAACCTCTCTCAGCTTTAGCCCTTACTCCACAGAGGAAACAATAAGAAGTGAATTCCTTTTTTTCTGAAATAATTTTGATTTGAACATAGAAAAGAAAGGAAAAATACAGACTAACAAAAAAGGAAAGACAGAAGGACAAAATTAAGAGTATAAAAAACCAAAGCAAAAACCACCACCATAAAAAAACCCAAAATATGATATTTCATTATGTATAACACTAAACAACAACAGCTAACACATCTTTATATACAACATATCACCTAAACACATCAACTAAAACTAATCTATAAGCCTCATACTAATTACTTGCTCCCTTGTTCATTCAACAAGCTAAAACCTGGATAATTGTATAATTTGTGCACTGGCAATGATAGCCCTACTGGTAGCCAATTCAATATAAAACCCAAAGCAATGTGTTGTGGACAGTTTAACCTTTACATAAACTGCCCAGAGATAAACAGATACAAATCTACTTTAATCATTTAGAACTTGGTGTAATGTATTCCAGTTCCCACTTTTGTCACACCTGTTTTCAGTATAATCCATACAGATGTCACAAATGATATCTACTAATATGGTAAAAGGATTAAAGGGGGTTCCATTCATAGTGAGGACCATGTGCTCTCATGCTGTGCGCCGAATAAAATATGGCAGTTAGTCACTGCATTCTTCACTATCATCCCACTTTGTCCACATTACAAAGCAGACATAGTACCAGGTTTCAAGTTGTTCAAGTAGCATTGCTGGCCAAAGAGGAGTGCATACTGAGTGCATAAGACTGGAAAAATCAAATGTGACAATAGACCTTGCAATCATCCACTTCCTCCAGATTATTAAGTATCTAAAATATATAGGAACAAGTTACTCTGTCATGAATATAACCGTTTTATTATTTTTTCTAAACATATGATTGAAAATGATTATCTGCTTTAATTGATTTAAAAATTGTACTGTGAATATTTTAATTGCTTTGGAAGCTACTTTGGTTCCCACTGTAAGAGAAAGGTGGCATACAGGTGCAACAGACAAATAAACAATGCACCATTTATTCAGTTACTTTACTCAATTAAGTCAAGCAGGAAAACATACCTCTCCAGCACTGTAACTACGGAGACGCTGCAGGTGCTGTCTGTGAGTCAAATGATTGGGTAGGCGACCATTTTGAAGTGGTATCCTGGGATCAATGAAGGTGGTAGCACGACTGTTGTGGTCAACAAAGAAGGACTGAAACAAAATAAAAGTACAAATAATAATCACGTGGAGAAAACGACCAGAATGAAAATTATGACAGGATTCCAGATGTTTTTGTGTGTGCGTCAGGAGTGACTTGAAAAACTGCCAAGTTGTTTGCTTCTGCTGTGAGAATTCTGCAAGGATGTTGCCCAGGGGACATCCAGATGTTTTACCATCCCATGGGAGACTTCTCTCATGTCCCCGCATGAGAAGATAGAGCTGACAGACAGGACCTCACCCAGTTCCCCAGGTTCAAACAGTCAACCTTTCGGTCTGCAGTCCTGCCGGCACAATGGTTTAACCCACAGCACCACTGGGGACCCCAGGATTTTAGATGACTCCATAAGACTGCAAATTAGCCTGGGTCTTCCATTTGAATAAAATGTTATACTAGAAAAGAAATCTTCATTTGTCCCCACATCAGAATCCTTGGCCAATGTCATAAAATAAGTCGGATAAATGTATTATTTTTATTTACTTCTTGTACCTTGCCTTGCTGGTCAGTTTTGATCTCCCAGCCCCGTGGAAGTTCCAGCCGCGTGTCAGCAAACATGTTGATGAAATTTACCAGGTCCCTGTTGTGCTGATACCGCTCAAAATTCCGAGCATCTCTGCGGATCTTCAGAATCATATGCTTCAAGCAGGTGCTGTTGGTGAAAACTCGATAGGCACTCTGGATAAAAACATAAGGGGGGGGGGGAACCAAAGTTCGCATAATTGCAAATGCCAGTCAGTTACATTGCTTTTTGTGGAACAGAAATAAATTATACAAATTTTAAATCTGTTTTTTTAAATGTTCTTGTTTTTAAGCTGGTCTCATCCCATGAATGAGAGATCTCCAAAGGCTTCAGTCCTCAACTGCGCTACTCATGTCTTCCAAATTAAACAAAATCATTTAAAATAGTGATCATATAATTGACCAGTGAGCTACAAGAGTCTGCCCAATAGTTTATGCAATGGTATGCTTCCTCTCTAGCTAAGGTTTCAAACAGGTATGATGTTAAATGTGTGCTTGCATTCATTTTGTAACTCCAGTCCTGCCACTAACAACAGCCTCTACAAGAGGAGTGAAAACATACAGGAAAGGTAAATCGCCCCCAAATTGCTTTTAGCCCCAGGAGGGAAGTTTTAGTTGGTACCAGTCCAAAATGCTTTCTGCTTTGGCAGTAAAGAAGAATATAAATGGAATAAAATAATAGTGACAAAATCACTTTCAGAAAAGCCATTAAATGAAAATAGTTGTGCCCTGCTGTACCATGGAGTTTCTCACCAGTTTGTTTACCAGCTTCTCGCCTGATTGGCTTTGGCATTCAAAGAAGCAAAGATTTGGGGGATTCTGGAAGCAACTTAGTCCAGCCCATTGCTTAATGTGTGATTTCTAGTTTGGAACGAAACTACAGTACCTCAAAAGGTTGACAATGCAAAACTATAGTGTTTGCAGTCTCCAAACTATTCACTGGATTGACTCCGCACCTCTTAGGGCAATTCTACAGACAATATAATGAAGTTCGAAGCTGGTTCCAGAGTAGGGCAACCACAAAATGCACACCCCCATGCATACTGTAGCACAGATCAAGCCAGAAACAGCATGTTAAAAAGACTCATTGGCAAATCCAAAATATAATGCTCTGCAGCCGATCAGGGATGGAAAATGTGAAGCAATGTGAAGCACTTGTCAGGATACTTTTAGGGCTGATGCACCTTAAAAACACTGAAATACAGCAGGCTAGAAGGTTAACCATGTTCAGGGGAAAAAATCACACATTTTCTGGTGGCTGTCTCCATGTAATAACTTTAACTCTATCTACGGCCTATATTCCAATCCATAATTTTGACCCCAAAATCTGTCCTTGACTTTTACCCGAGGTTGACATTTATGAATATCTACACAGAGGGCTGGGCGACTTGGAAGGCGCTGAACAGACTGCGCTCTGGCACCACAAGATGCAGAGCCAACCTTCAGAAATGGGGCTACAAAGTGGAATCCACGACATGCGAGTGTGGAGAAAAGCAAACCACAGACCACCTGCTGCAGTGCAACTTGAGCCCTGCCACATGCACCTTCTTGCAGCAACACCAGAAGCACTCCAAGTGGCCAGATACTGGTCAAAGGACATTTAATCAACTACCAAACTCACAAATTTTGTATTTTGTCTGTTTGTTTGCTTTGTTCTGTTAGAAATGTAATATAATTGACTGGTTGCCCTGACACGACAAATAAAATAAATCCAGTAAATATTAGTTACTAGATTGCATAATGTTGCTTCCTCATGCTTGCAGGTCCCATGCCAGTGTGACAACTTTTAAAGGAATAACCATGTGGTTCTGGTGAATGAAGTATTTTCTTCCAAATTGCCACCCTGTGGTACTGGTGTGAAAATGGAATCACAGCATCTGTGTAATACTTTGTTTATTTGTATAAGTAGTACAGGAGTGACAGAAGATTTGGATATATGGCAGAGTGCGCTGCACTGCGCAAAAGTCCCAGATATGTGACCAATACACCTGTAACTAACCGAGCAATTAAAATGAAACAAGATTAATACTATATTTTGGAAATATACAGGAAAGGTCTTGCACAAATGGCCAGTTGCTCTTCAGTTTGGTCCTGTAGATGCTTTGAGTTGTGGAAATGTGTGGATTATTAATAAAAACTGTGTTATTCCATGACTTAGCTTAGTTGGCCATTTTAGTTGTCCTTTGCGAGCTTTAAAGAGACCCCAAATTCACAGATTTGTTAAAAAGCTTACAAGGAAATAAGGTATCAGCTTTTCGCTTCAGTTCCAGCTGCTGGGTAATATTTTCCATCTCAAATTTCATGGCATAATTAATGGCTCTAAATTTTAATTGGAGTTTGTGGTTAAAATAGTAAAACTGGGGTAAGCCAATATTTATGTGGCATATTATTTTTTACATAAGTCAAATTTGTATGACTGCCTTAACAGATGTTTCAGTAAGTCGTTCTGGTTCTTTTACCAGAATACAGATTTCTTATTGTGAGAGAAAAGGTGTTGTTCTGCCCAGATTTATTTGACATCCCTTTGATGCAAAATCTACTCATTCAAGTGAAAATCCACAAAGGCCATAGAAAGTTATATTAAGATGAATCTCAGATATTGTTCTGAATTGTATCTGAATCCCTTGTCTATAGAAACACAGGACTTCAGGGACAAATAGGTATGCACCCTATGAGATATTTCAATATTCTGTTCTAAACTAGTTTGAAATCAGTTTTCAGAATTGTCTTTTTGTACTGCTTAGTCAATTATAAAACAAAACTAAAAATCTGTCAAAGCAATGGGGAAGAAGATTTATATATACTTTCTTGACTTGCTGATGAGCTAATTTTGATACTTTTAACTTTTGAGAAAATTTGGAAAATATCTACATTCTAAAAAGCAGTTCATTTTAAAAAATGTTCCACTGATACTGCATATTGTTCTGAAACACGATCTGGGGCATATGCTCACAAAATGTTCTCCCTTATAGGACTAAGTCAGCTGTGCCATGCCAGCTCCTTCTTGGTAAGGCTTGAGTTTCCCATTTAGGAATTCTTTGAAAATCATATAAACACTCCAGCATCTGAAAGCCATTGTTCTGTGTCATTGGTTTCTAATTTGGGTTTAACAAAGGTTTATGGTAAAATGTTCCAGTTCAGAGAATGCAAACAAGATGCAAACAAGAAAAGTTAGTGTCATTCCTATCCCAAGTATGCTGCTGTTACCTTTCCGAAAATATGCACAAGTGTACAAGTGTACTCAGGACTTCATGGTTGCCATGACGACCATGGGGCTATCACAAGTTATATCTGGGCCCACCCATCAGGCTGGACACACACTCGACCTGATTTTTGTGGCGGACTGCGGATTGGTCAGAGTGGAAGAGCAAAGCATCCTTCCATTGCCATGGTCTGACCATCATCTGATCAGCTTTAGACTTGCTGTGACCACTAACCTTTGCAGGGGTGGAGGATCAACTAAGATGATCTGCCCCAGGAGACTGATGGATCTGGAAGGATTCCTGAGGAATCTTGGGGCTCTTCCTGCCATGGAGCCTGGCGACCCACATGATCTCTTTCATCATCTGGAGAGGCCCTGCTTGCGATCCCACCTGCATTGCAGACGCGATTGGTGGGGATGAGAGAGAGGGCCTTTTTGGTGGTGGCCCTTCGACTCTGGAACTCACTTCCTAAGGACATCAGGCATGCCTCAACTTTGGCAGTCTTTAGGAGGAGCTTGAAGACGTGGTTGTTCCAGTGTGCCTTCCCAGAATAATGATTCCATAGCACTTTGTCCTCCAAAGCACTTTACATTGTTTTAGGTCTGCTTGTATGTTTTCCACAAATGGCCCATCACTTTTTCGCCCATGTTCCAGCATTATTCTCAATTTTAATTCTGCATTTGACCTTCCCTTAGTTTTAATTGTGTGTTGTCTTATTGTTATGTTTCGTTATTTTATTGTCCATGTTTTATTTTAATTGCTTGTATTGTTGTTATTATTGCTTGTATTGTTGTCTTTGGGCTCGGCCTCATGTAAGCCGCACCAAGTCCCTTGGGAGATGGTAGCGGGGTACAAATAAAGCTTTATTATTATTATTATTAAATGGCAAGAATGGTTCAATACAGATAATTACACCACATCTTCTGAAATTTGCTGAAATTTTCACATAACATTAGCATTAAAAAGATACACCCAAACAGATAAAGACTTAGTATGAAGGCATGAGGAAAGAAAGAAAAAAACACTTCACATCTCTAATCAGAGGAAAGGGAACAGAAAAAATGACCAAATGCTTAAGACCAGCAAACAAACAATAAGTGATCACCGTGCTAAAGGTTTTAATTAAGCCCAACTTGCAGAGTAAGAACTGAATTCCTACTTGCATGTTGCCGTCAAGGTCATCAATCAATAGGATGACTAAGGCTCAAGTACTTACATAGTTTGCATGTAGCACCGTGAAGAACTCAGGATTGGTGATGAATTTTACAGCAGGAGACTGTAGCAACAAAGTAATCTTCTGAGAATTTACAGGTGAAACTGGAACTTCTCTTCTAAGCTCTGTAAATAAAATGATCTTCATGTAAAATAAAGCAAAGGACAACTTGCATTGCAATTTGAATTGTTGCTCTTCTATTCTTGTACTCTTAGCCAGCAGCACAAGTTCTTCCCAATTTCAAAACAGTTCCTGAAAAGACTTCTTAGGGAGCATCTACATGTGCCAAAAAGGGCAATGTTGATCTGGGGTGAGATATTCCAGATCAGTGTCAGATGCTGTAAATAGAAAAATAGAATAGTAAAAAGTAGGAATAAATGTGTGTGTGTTCATGCGTACAAAGAAAAAAATATGAAAATTTGTATCTTTTAACAAAAAAATATAGAAAATGTGAAAAAGAACATGAGAAGTTGTGGGAAAAGAGCAAAAGTCCAATGTCTATTTGGAGGGGAAAGTTAGTTCTGATACGCAAGATGAAAAAATACATTTCCATAATTAATTTAATTAGATTCACAATTATTATTTTTTTGTCGTGTCAGGAGCAACTTGAGAAACTGCAAGTCACTTCTGGTGTGAGAGAATTGGCCGTCTGCAAGGACGTTGCCCAGGGGACGCCTGGATGATTTTGTTGTTTTTTTTATCATCCTTGTGGGAAGCTTCTCTCGTGTCCCCACATGAGGAGCTGGAGCTGACAGAGGGAGCTCATCCGCCTCTCCCTGGATTCGAACCTGTGACCTGTCGGTCTTCAGTCCTGCTGGCTCAGGGGTTTAACCCACTGCCCCACCGGGGGCTCCAGATTCACAAATGATTGTCATGTTTCCATGAAATAAGAGTAACCAAATAATCAATTGCTACATTGAATGCAATCCAAATATTTTCCAATATCTTTTAGATATTTTATATTTTTTAAAAAATTCATACACAATGAAATTTACCACACTAGGGAGTGAGATTCTAGAATAGTTTCCCTGAGGTGCTATTTTTCAGCATGCCAACCAACAATTCAGTCTTTACTCTATACACCCACAAGTCTCTTTTCAATATGCTGCTGTCCAACACACATATGCGTCATACATTTGCATGTGAATGTGCACACACACTTATTTGCTTTCAGGGAAATATATAGCAGCACAGCTGCATGAACTGAGTGGCCTGTTGACAACAAATCATGGCATTTAGTGCGGCCGCTGGAGTTTCCCCAAAATCTCTCCACTGTTAAAAAGAATCACATGAAAATGAAGAGGTAGCTGTGAAATTCTTTTATTAAACAAGTCCTCCTCCACCATCTATCTATCTATCTATCTATCTATCTATCTATCTATCTATCTATCTATCTATCTATCATCTGCAGAAAGATAGATGTATCCATACATGCTGGAAGAGGACTTGTTCAATAAAAGAATTTCACTGCTACCTCTTCATTTTGATAGATGGGTTCACACAAGACTGGGCGACATGGAAGGCACTGAACAGACTGTGCTCTGGCACCATGAGATGCAGAGCCAACCTTAAGAAATGGGGCCACAAAGTAGAGTCCGCAACATGCGAGTGTAGAGAAGAGCAAACCACAGACCACCTATTACAATGCTGTCTGAGCCCTGTCACATGCACAATGGAGGACCTCCTTACAGCGACACCAGAGGCACTCCAAGTGGCCAGCTACTGGTCAAAAGACATTTAGTATAATGTCAAGTTTTTAAACTTTGTTTGTGTTTTTAAATACATTACAACTGTACCCTCGGTTCACTTCTGATACGATAAATAAATCAACTCTATCTGCAAACTTTGGAAAGTTGAAAGTGACTTCCTTAACACAGCAATCATAACTACCATCTAATATAGTATGTTCTCTAAATACTGTATATGGTGTATATACTTGTCTCCTGCATATTTCAACTGCTGCTCTGGGCCAGAGTGAAGGGGGGGGGGGAGGGGGAGGGGACAGTTCCATCTTGTCCCCTGTGCTATGCTAATAATGTAATGTAATATACTGTATATACATAGAATATTTATAACATTATAATGTAATACAACACAATATTACTAATAATATGATATTATAGTTATATATTTTATATTACATGTAATATTACTAATAATATTACAATGTAATGGTATAGTAAAATATAGTAATATATAATACTGATATTATACTATGCTAATAATATAATATATATTGTGTTCATCTATATCTTATAAGCCGTTCTAAGTCTAAATAAATAAATAAATAGTATATAATCTGTAATAAAAATCACCCAACCCTTTCCTCTGACATATACTTTTCAAAGTGCAGGGATTGCTTTTCTGTATAGAAATATTAATGCTCAGGATACCTCCTCTCACCTCAGACTGTATTTATTTATTTATTATTTATTTGGAGTGCTTCTACCCCACCCTTCTCAACCCCCTAGGGAGGACTCCGGGCGGCTTACAAAAGGCACAATTTGATGCCCAACAGTTCACAAAATACAATATACAAAATACAATATAGCAACAACAGTTATAACTAGTTAAAACAGTCAAATTAATAGAATATCAGCAATAAAATCATCTTGTGGTCAACGTTTGCCAATTCATAAATCCATAATCCATCCAGCATTGTCATTGTCCTTTCCTACTCTGGTCGTCATTGTCTTTTATCCATCTGCCAGCTTACCCAAAGGCCTGGTCCCATATCCAAGTTTTTAACTTCCTTCTGAAAGAGAGGAGGGATGTTGATGACCTAATTTCCCCGGGGAGTGAATTTCACAGGCGAGGGGCCACCACTGAGAAGGCCCTGCCCCTCGTTCCCACCAGTCTCACTTGTGATAAAGGTGGGGCCGAGAGCAGGGCCTCCCCAGAAGATCTTAAACTTCGAGGTGGGACGTAGAAAGAGATAGGTTCGACAGGTACCCTGGGCCGGAGCCGTATAGGGTTTTGTAGGTCAAAACCAGCACGTTGAATTGTGCTCGGAACTGGATCGGCAGCCACTGAAGCTGACATAGTAGGGGGGTGGTATGCTCTCTGTATGATGCTCCAGTGAGAAATCTAGCCATCGCCCGTTGGACTAGTTGAAGTTTCCGAACAGTCTTCAAAGACCCCACGTAGAGCGCGTTGCAGTAATCTATTGAGTATGTAACAAGAGCGTGGACCACCGTGGCCAGATCAGACTTCTCAAGGTACGGGCGCAGCTGGCGCATAAGTTTTAATTGTGCAAAAGCTCTCCCAGCCACCGCCGAGACCAGTCTGAAGTGGTATCTCCCTAACATAGCTACACTGTATCAGCGAAAAATAAGGTCAAGCTAGTAGAGCTTTTGGTGCTGATGCAGATTTCCCCCCATGCTTCAGTCATTTACCTATCACTGCTGTAAAACACAAATGTTTGGGCTAAATGCGATATGCCATAGTACTGAGTCACCTAAAATGTTTTACCTGAATTTGGTGGTGAAGGATCTGCCTCAGAATCACTGCCTCCTCCAGGAGGGATCCTCTCCACCCTATTGCTAACAACTGTTTCCTCCTCTGTCCTTTCTGTTGCAATAGTCCGTTGAATATTTTGGTACCTTGAAAAGACAGAGGGAAGAAAAAAGTGAGCAGAGATATTTTAAGCATTGGAAATGTCAGTTTCAAAAATCAAGCCTATATTCCATTTCATGTACTTATTCTATAAACAGGATGAAATGTTCTTCTGTCTCAAAGGCACCCACAAAATATAATTCATTGAAAACATTAAAAAAGCAAAAGGATAATTAAATAAAATAATTAATGAATGGGGCCAGCTGGGAAGCCTCAACCTGATGAAGGTGCTCAGGCAAGTTTATGTGTGCAATTTAACCTGCCATTTAATCTAATGAGCACTTTAGCCAAAAAAAGGTAAGCATTAGATTCAAGTAAATATGGTGTGTATGTATGTTACCCATCTTTCTCCCAATGTTTCAGAAAGTACGTTGGAGCCCCCGGTGGCACAGTGGGTTAAACCCCTGTGCCAGCAGGACTGAAGACCGATAGTTCGCAGGTTTGAATCCGAGGAGAGGCGGATGAGCTCCCTCTATCAGCACCAGCTCCTCATGTGGGGACATGAGAGAAGCCTCCCACAAGGATGATAAAAACATCAAATCATCTGGGCGTCCCCTGGGCAACATCCTTGCAGATGGCCAATTCTCTCTCACCAGAAGCGACTTGCAGTTTCTCAAGTCGCTTCTGACACGACCAAAAAACAATGTACGTTAAAACAACATATATTTAAAATAAAGAGAAAAAGTTAAAAAAATCACATTAAGATAGTTTGAAAAGGCAGTTAGAATGTATCAGTGATAAAAGACAGTACACTTCCATTAAAAATCTTTTGAAACAGATAAGTAACAGACAAAGGTCTAGGTAAGTGGAAAGGTCTTTGCTGGCAGAAAGGGGGGGGGGGCAATCTAGCTTTCTAAAGTTCGCATTCAAAAATGTCTTACAGAATTTAAAATAGTAAAAATATGCTCAATGCTCTCTCCATTGGGATTTCCCTCCCAGCTGGGCTCTCTTCTAAATCCTCAAACTGTACAAATTTGGTAGGAATAGTCTTATTTATTCTTCTGCTACTCCACATTTTTCAGTGCTTTTAAAATGCCCTAGTTTCAGCCTCCTCCTCTCATTTCCCCACTTGCCCTCAATTTATTTTAGTTTAAAATATAAAAATGTAGTGGGACACCAGCAGGCAGTTTTTTAATACCTGAAGTAAATCTGGATTTCCACAGCCTGCTTTTTAGGGCTGTGTAGATGTAGCGGGAAGGTAACGGCGCTCCATGCAGTCATGCTGGCCACATGACCTTGGAGGTGTCTACGGACAACGCTGGCTCTTCGGTTTAGAAATGGAGATGAGCACCACACCCCAGAGTCAGACATGACTGGACTTAATGTCAGGGGACTACCTTTACCTTTACCTTTAGATGTAGCCATAGTGACAGCTTTTGCTTTCTAATGGTTCAGTGCAAACTTTGTTTCACAACATTATTACAAATATTGTATACAATTACCTATATGCATAAATTCCTTGATATTCTTCTGCAAGATGTTACTTTCTCTGGAGGATCTAACAAACTGAATTTTCCAGGTCCTCCAGGAGGACTCTATAGATGTATTGTCGAAGGCCTTCATGGCCGGAATCACTGGGTTGTTGTAGGTTTTTTTCGGGCTATATGGCCATGTTCTAGAGGCATTTCTCCTGACATTTCACCTGCATCTACCGTATACCATGCAGCTGTGGACAAGTCTACATAGGGACCACCAAATGCAGCGCCCAAACACAAATCAAGGAACATGAAAGGCACTGCAGACTACTTCAACCAGAGAAGTCAGTCATAGCAGAGAACCTGATGAACCAACCTGGACACAGCATATTATTCGAGAACACAGAAATGCTCGATCACTCCAACAACCACCATGTCAGACTACACAGAGAAATCCACAAGCATGTGGACAATTTCAACAGGAAGGAGGAAACAATGAAAATGAACAAAATCTGGCTATCAGTATTAAAAAACTCTAAAATTAGAACAGCACAATAACAGAGAGGAAACAAACAAGGACATCTAATCACCTCTCAACAAAAGATTGCTCCAGGCACTGCCAGGCAATCAAATGCTAATCAAGGTGGTCAGTTGAAACATTCACACCTAGCTCCAGCAGACAAGAGTCCTTTGTCTCACCCTGGTCATTCCACAGATATATAAACCCTTTTTCCTAGTTCCAACAGACCTCACTACCTCTAAGGATGCTTGCCATAGATGCAGGCGAAATGTCAGGAGGAATGCCTCTAGAACATGGCCATATAGCCCGAAAAAACCTACAACTCTATAGATGCTTTTAATTGTTCATTCAAATATAGGTCACTATTATCCATGGTTTCTTGTTTCTATTAAGTTCAAGTACGTGTCTCCTATGGATATGGATTGCACTGTATATGAATGTTGTAAGTATATTATAAGAGAAATTATAATTAGCTCCATGTTCTCGCATTGTTTGATGATTTGAATAAATTGTGAGTGGCTTTTTTAAAGGAGAGGCATTTGTTATTTTTTTAAAAGTAGAAGTGTAACAGAATCAAATAGAATTAGAAGAGAAAGTGTGAAAATTTTGTTTGACAGAAAAAGCTTTCTAATGTTATTCATTTCTACTATAACCAACCATTTATAGACAGAAAGGGAGAAAGTGCACATGCAGGAGAGGGCCAATGCAAGTAAGTAAACACAATAAAATTAACTTTTAAAAAAAACCAACGGGAGCACAAGTGTTGTTATTCTACCTTTTCCTTTTATAAGAATCTATAAACATTGTTATTCAATTCACAGCAGGCTGAGTGAACAAACTTTCCATTCCAATATACTCTGGGTTTTATGACCCACTGATGTAACAGCAGAACAGAAAAAAAGTATTTCATCTACTCAGAAGGTGACACAGGCTTTCTATTTATTTAGTTGGTAGAAAATCCCCTGCTGACAAATGATCCCTATGGACTGAAGCAATGAACGAAAAAAATGCTACTGTTTAGCCTCAATTCTGAAGAATAATCTTAAAAAAATTCCTCAAAATCCCAGCATAACTGAATATAAATGTCTTTATATAGATGTATTCGAGAAAGTCAATCTGTTTCCAATTTTTTTTATGACTGAGAATAATCACTTTCAAACTTTCTGTCCTCTGGGAATCTATTTTGTGTTGACTGATTTATCAAGAACGTCCAAGCACAGAGTAGTAATCAAGCTATGGGAGATCCATTCTGGGGCACACTTTGTGTGTTGGTTTGGATTTCACTCTTGCAAAGATCTCGTAAGTCTGCTCACTGGAAAAGACAGTGAAAAACTACTTCAAGGAAGCTTTTCAAAGTGTCACTATTGGTTATCTAAACGGCATATCCATTGTAAACCCCAAATTTCACTATAGTATGGAAAAGAAAAAGGAGGAAAGAGAAATGACAGATATGGAACTGTCTCTGCTAAATCAAGATAGGGGAAAGGTATGGGCATGTTAATGAGGATCCAATAAGGAGAAAAGACGTAAAACAAGCTTGAGCTATGGAACGCCCTTCCTAGGGAGATTAGATCGGCTTCCTCGCTCCTATCATTCCGGAAGAATCTTAAGACATGGCTATGTGAGCAGGCATTTGAAAATACGGAGTAACGGATATAATAATGGAATTACTATATGGTGGAATTGGACATTGTTTTAATGATTATCAATTGAAGTATGTTTCATTTTAATGCTTGATTTTATTGTTTCTGATGTTTTTTTATATTGTATATTGTAATTGTGTCCTTGGTGGCATTGAATTCCTGCCTTGTAAACCACCTCGAGTCGCCGGAAGGCTGAGAGGGGATGTGCTGGTACGGCTGTACCAGGAGCTCCAACTTTATTTTCTTTCTGTTATCTATTTGCAGTCATAGGGCAGGCCTCCTGTCCATCATAATTAAGCTTTGGTTCCGCCCCTTGTTCAGGGCTCTGGGAGGGAAAGGAGCCATTTTTTGGGCAGTCCCACATAAGGAAGCTAAACTATAGGATGTAGACCATCTTGTCCCATAGAAAAGCTTCTTTTCTCAAGAACATCCGGGGAAACAGAAACAGAAATTCCAGGGAAAAGGTCCCAAGGCTCTGGCTGAGAGCTCACAGCCTCTGAGCCTCACAGCAATCAGAGGGAAAACAACCCTGAAGTTCTCAAAGAATTCTCTGAGGGAGGACAGCACTACATATCCACTGAACTCCATCTGAAATATCTACAAGCCTCGGCTGGTAGGCCTAGTCGATACCTAGACGCATTTGGAATCGGTAGTAGGACCCACACCAATGAGGCATAGATAGTAAACAGCTTGGGAGAGGTTAAAAAGAGTTTTTTTTCCTACAGAGAAAGTACAGTTAATCAAAGTCAGGTACCAGTCCATTGAGGACTAGACTAAGAAAGCCTTGAAGTGTTGTTTGAACCACTGTAGATTTGTTGTTTGTTCCATGATAAAGACTTTGTTGTATCATTAAAGACTCTAAGGACCATCACTTCAGAAAAATCCCTGAGAACCCCTCTTTGAGGTGCCCTGGCTTCCCACTGGGTTTAAAGTATACGCCCTATAGAAAAGATAGCTGTTACAGGCCCAGCGTGCGACAGAACAGGGGCAGAATAGAAATGTACTAAATAAATAAATAAATAAATAAAACATCAATTTGATGGCCACAAAAACAAGCCTAAAAACCAAGACCTCAGGAGGTTTTTTTTTGGTCGGGCTGTGTAATGTAATAATGGGAACTCCTGACTAAAAAAAAAGAAATAAAAACAATTTTTCATTACAATCTAAGTATAGCTGGACTGAAAATACCATACAACACTGCTTGCACCATTGTTATATCCCAATTACTACCTATGTATTCCATTTTTAGAGAAAAGGGCAAAGAAGGTGAAGAGAATCCACATAAATGATGGCATGTTTTATAGTACTTTCTAAAGCTCAGCAAGTACTGGTGTTGAGTTTTGGAAAAAAATGTTGAAATATCAGAATTCTTTTAATTAATTCTATTTGTGAACAACAAAATCTGAGTT